ATAACCACAACATAAAAAACTGCGATATTAAATGAGAGTATCTGTAGAAAAGTTAAGTTTAAAGGCAAATAAATCATAATCTTTTGTTGGCTGCCTTTGTTATTTTAAAGCATTTAAAGCAGGCTAAACAGTGTAATGGTAAAAAAATATGTTCTAACATTGTTTTGTGCTAAAGCCGTGTCTCAAGTGTCCTATATTTTACCCTGATGTGCAAAGATGATACAAAATGTTGGTTTGCAGCTGTGCCCCGAGAAGGGAGGACGGTTGACTAGATCTCATAGAAGCTTCAAAGCAAAGGACTCCTCTTCATGGCCTTGGTTGATATCTTATTCTGCACGAAAGTTCTGGATCCAAGTTTTACTTTCATGTCAAGTAACAATGATTTGCAGCGGCCATTGATGAGGATCTTGTGTGTGTGTGCTACCCTCAGCTTCACCTGGGTTCTTATCTCAACCTGCTTTGCAGCTTCTCGTAGCTGGCACGGAGAATGTCCTTCATATGTGTATAAAAACTCAGTGTCTTTTGGAGTGACAGCGAGATCCTCCTTGTGGCAGTGGCAAGTGGGTGGCAACTTTGTGACAGGCAGCGGCAATCGCCAGTAAATCAGTCGGCGTCACGACGGCACGCTGGGTGGGAGGAGCCAATTTTTCCCAGAAACAACTGTTATTTGTACGACAGGTCAGCTGCTGTAAATATTTAATTTTATTTAATTTTATTTAATTTTATTTTAGACACGTGAGCCCCCGTCTTCTTATTACAGAGGCTAATTTTAGGTTTGGACCGGCGGGTTCCGTGTAGGGGGTGGGGCTCTCAAGTTTGATGCCACCCACTTGCCACTGCCACAAGGAGGATCTCGGCCTTACTGGTCTTTTGTGCTCGGAGACGCCATTTCCACAGAGCACTGTGATACGTGCCTGTGTATTTGACCTCCTGCTTGCAAGCAATAAATGGACTTTTTGCAACTTTGATCATTCATCAAGACTCTGTTTTATCAGACAAATCATTCTCTTCTACCGAGCTTTTATTGAAATATTCCACAACAATTTGGCGTCACGAACAGGATACGCTGACCGTCCGTCAGGCTCCGGGGGACCGTCCGGGGAAAGGGCCCTTTCCAGGATCACCAGCTGATGATCCTGCCTCATACCTCCTTAGACAAGAGAGAAAGGACTGGCGGAAACCAGAGGAGTCCTGATTGACGTCACGTGTATCCAGCGAAAAAGAATTAATTTCTACAGACTCGCGTAAGAAGTTGAAATTCCGATTATAAAGTAACAGTAAAGAGTTGAACAGAACGGAAACGGATGACTGATCAAGTGGTTGTTATAGTCTGGGGAATACAATTATTATCATTATTATTATTTTTTTTTTTACATTTTTTATTTTTTTTATTTTTTATTATTTAGTACATGATTCCGGGATATTTCTAATGCATCATTTTATGCGAAGGTAGATAGGTGGAAATATCGTGGAAATAGCGTACGTGAATTTTATGCTGAAGCAGGTAAAACGATATCACTGTTATTGATAACCAAACGTGAGTTCTACTGAATTACCTTTAGAACAAGATCGTGGCAAAATCGAAGCGTGAGTTTTGAGTGGGGTTTTTGCAAAGTTTTTCCTCGAGTAAAGAAACTAAGCCTTACGGTGACGACTGTATTGTAATAAGTAAACCGGTAGGCTCCACCAGTAAAAGATGGGTGGCCAGTCCCCAAAACACACGGAACCGTCGGGTCCGATTGTGGCAATGATGCAGCAGAAATACGAGAAAACAGGTACAGAGTGTCTCCCATACTGGACAAAAGAGTTTGGGTTCCCAGAAAACGGCTCGTTTAGTGCCGCTAAACTTAAAATGTTAAGAGGGGATTTGGAAGGTTGGAAGAAAGGTTAAAAAAAAAAAAATGGAAAGTGGTATCAAGATCTAAGTTAAAGACTTGGAAATAATAGAGAAAAACCAGACATGTCTGGCACAATGGGAAATGGAATGTGAATGCAGGGAGAGAAAACAAACAATGAAGCAAATGGCGTGTCTAAAACCTGAAAAGCCTGACATAGAAACACAGAATAATCCACTTGTGTCTTCTCCACTGTATCCATCCCTGACAGGGGCAGGCGGTCCTCTCCTGAACACATGCTACCAAACTCCCCCACCTCAGCCAGCTCAACAAGCGGGACTACCGCCACCTCCATACCAGACCCGCAGCGTCACCAGACTCCAGAACCAGGGCGGTCCAGCAACGCCAATGTCCCCGACCAACCCCTTCTCGCATTACCCCATAGCCGAATCCACTCCAAAGCCCCTGGCCTGCCAATGGTCAAACCCTGATATGGACAGTATGGACGGTAATTTTGACGGCTCCCTCATCCAGGCCCCCATGATTCAGGTCCCGGGACCGAATGGGCATCGTCGTGTCGTGTTTCGACCCTGGACAGCAACTGATATTCAACAGGCAGCCTCTCACCTGCCCAACATCAAAAACGGTGCAGCCTTTGGAAAAGAGTTCCTGGCGTTCTGTAAAGAATTCATGCCCACCGGACCCGAGATCCATCGTCTTCTGGTCAAACATGTGGGCCCGAGTGATTTCAGTAAAATCAAAGCGGTGGTCACTGGTCAGGGCTCTGACTCCCGCCACGAGGCACCCGACTGGGATCAGGCAGATAACGTTGCCTACAGAGCATTTGTCACCGCAGTATGTGCAGCTGTTGTTACAGCTTTTCCGGCAACAGTGAACATGGCCCTCATTAACAGCACAAAACAAGGTAGGACCGAAGATGTAACGTCTTACTATCAGCGTCTTGTGGCTGCCTTTCAGATTCACAGCGGCCTCGAGGAGCCCACAGACATAACCAACATGACTGTGTGGGAAACTCATCTCAAGAACGCCTTCATGAACGGGCTTCTGCCAGACGTCAAAACTGCCACTGAACACTCTGTCGTGGGTCTGGAAGATGCAAGGCTCACAGAAGTGGTAAAACATGCACGACACAATTATAAAATGCATGTGGAAAATCAAATGTGTCAAGACAAACGCAGCAAGCAGACTGGGGAGAAAGCCCAGCTTGCGATGCTCCAAGCCGTAAAACAGTTGACACTGGGTGCAGAAGGAGGACGAGACCCCCACCCATCCGGAAATTCTTATGGGAGGGACCAACAGAGAGGACGAGCGTATGGAATGAATCGTGGGAGAAGAGGGCGTTTTCAAGGAGGGGCCCCACGAGAAGTGCAACCCGATGAATGCTTCCTCTGTGGCAAAACAGGACATTGGTGCAAAGACTGCCCCTCCCGTTCAAACCTGGTACGTCAGCCACATGGACGACAGCGCCACTCCGGGACTTACAGAGGGGGTCAACAATTCGGCACTTCAGACTGACGGTGCGATGGGGAGGGAGAGCGCATTTGTGAAGGAGGACTGACTGCTTCCTCTCCAAAACAGGGAAGTGAAACACACCACACGCACACACAATGCTGCAATGAAGACCTGCTTCCTCGCACGCACACCCACATACACACGCACACACAATGCTGCAATGAAGACTTGCTTCCTCGCACGCACACTGCAGAACAACATGCTGTTTTGCTCAGCATCATATCTCACTTAGAGCAACAGCAACAGAATACATCCACACCACCGCCACTCACGTATGCTATGTTTTCATCAGATGCATACAAAGATATGCCAACTACAAGAGTAATTGTGGAAGGGAAAGAATTGGTGTTTTTAGTAGACTCCGGAGCTACTCATTCAGTAATTAAAAAAAAAACATTTTCCAAATCAAAAAATGAGTGGGCGGTATGTATATTCTCAAGGGGCTTCAGGTTTGACTGTGACAGAAAAATTTACGCACCTATGACGAGTGTACACTCTGACGGGACTGACCTAAACCCTGACATAAAAGTAAAACATTCTTTTTTACTCTCTTCACTCTGTCCCATAAATCTGATGGGCAGAGACTTGATGTGTACATATGGTATTTGTTTGACGTCATCTCCAGACGGCCTTAAAGTGGTTAGGCGTAGAGCCGCACTCCAAATGGTGCAAAAGGCTCCTTCTAATCCTCTTTTTGTGTATCAGTGGTGGATCCCGATCGATGATGCTCGGAGGCTAAGCCAGGCTGGTGAAGCACGGGTTTCTCCTCATGCAGACGTATGAACCCTGAACACCTGCATTGCACAACATGTGTCTCAGAGGGTCCAGACGGCACTTTTGAAGAGACATTTTTTTGAGGCCCTCAATGATGCAATTGCCTGTTCTACTTTGTACTGGTCAACTTGTAAATCTGCTGTGTCTGTTTCTCTGTCTCCCACACAGAAAGAACTGTTTCAAGTTCCCGGCTCTTACCCCCATGTCTCACTGTCTAAAGGACGCTGTAGGATATTAGAAAGAAATATACGACCCGGTTCATAAAATTAATAAAATGCATATAGTGTACACCAGAATACAGCCATGATTCTGAAACTGTGTAATCCATAAAGTAATGACAATATTGTAAAACCACTGTAAATCTGCAACTGTAATAGAATAATATCGATGCAGTTATGATTGTATTTGATGTAATGTAATCAACTGGAATGCATGCATGTAATACTTGCACAACCACTGATATTGACTAAGGATCATCCGAAATCCGAGTTACACTGAACTCACCAGAAGACGACTCCCAGAGGTGTGGACACTGACTTTCACACCTTTAAGCATTGTTATAAATACCTGTAGGAACCATTGTTCTCGAGTTCACTGGTGGAGGCGACAGACGGGCACTAGGGATGGTCAAAGGACTGACCTGGGGCCTGTTGGTCGCTGAGACCAGCGGCTCCTCAGCTGAGATGTTCTTTTTACCGCAACGCCATCTCCTTTATTAAATACATTTGATTTGAACCTTTTGATCAGCGATGACCTCTGTCCGTCCGGCGTTTCTTCATTTTTGAACACAACAATTTGGTGACCCCGACGTGATGGAGAGCAATGGACGGACGGAGGAACAGCTGATCTGAACAAAGCCCAGCGATCGATTTTCTTCACTCACACGGCGCCATCGAAAAGGTAACCGGCAACCAGTTGTTTTAAAACCGAAATCCTGTATAGTTTATCATAGAACATTTAGGTGTGAGTGGACAAGATACGATGTTTTGAGGAAAACTACATTTTAGAGAAAAAATATTTTTTCTCTTAGCTTGAATGGCCGTTGTGATAAAAAGCACATTGTATATAGTGTTTGTCTGGACGTCTCTGTGTGTGTTACCGACAAAGCTCGGTTGTGTAGCGTTAAGGTTAAGTGAATGGGCGACGTTATTTAACTGATCAGTCATAGAATGAATGGAAACCTAGTATAGGCCTCTAACCGGTTGGGGATAAACGTATAGCAATTTATAGACTGTATACGTAATGCACTGTGTAGAACGCGCTAGCAGAGTTAAGTCCGCAAGGCCTGTTGGAACCAGAGGAGTGTTACCAGCAGTAATTGAGTGGAAGAGGTTCGCGTTGTAATGGCGGTTCTTCGTTGTCTCTGTAAGCTCTTTTAGACTCTGTTAGGCGGCACAATAAATTAAAATATGAACCAGACGACGCCAATGAGGCTAGATAACTAAAAAATAAATAAATAAATTTGGAACTTGTGAGGACAGAGCCACGCGCCGTAGTTGCCAAGAACTGACTAAAATTTTGCGGATAATTAAGTGCAGGGAGGGATAAATAGACCTAAAATAATAAGAGATAAGATAAGAAATAGGTCATCATATAACTCGCCTTGCAGGTGAGGACAGAGTCACGGACCAGCGCGCCAAGACCCTGAAGGCTGGAAGTTACAATTTAAATTCGAAAAGGGTGAGGATAGTGCAGAACGCGCTAGCAGAGTTAAGTCCGCAAGGCCTGTTGGAACCAGAGGAGTGTTACCAGCAGTAATTGAGTGGAAGAGGTTCGCGTTGTAATGGCGGTTCTTCGTTGTCTCCGTAAGCTCTTTTAGACTCTGTTAGGCGGCACAATCCAAGACCCGAAAATAATAAATTACTGGATACATTTTTACAATAAATATAGATCAGTTGAAAACGTTGCGAACTTGTATATAATTGTATGTAGCATGTTGCGAAAAGAATGAAGCCGGATTAAGGATTTGATTGGGGCCTGGTCTTGGGGAAGACGGAGCACATGTTTTTGGAAAATTACAGGATGGCGGGCGGAGATAAATAGAGAAAACGGTTAAAAGATGGCTGAGAAAGAAATTCTCAGCACGGGTCTACAGAGGGGATAACAATGACTTGTTATCCACCACTACTAGGGGTGGAGAACATGTGCTTTGGAGATTTCCAAAATGGCAGCCGGCAACAGTTAAAAGAAGAAAGTTGCACCAGATGTAACAGTTTCTGTATTTCCCACCTCCACTCTGTATTCCCATTAAACAGTGTCTCTTCTTGTCCCCATTTTCCAAATGATCCTAACATTTTTTTCTTCCTCCATTCTTAGGACCATGTGATTTTTGCTTGCATTACAAACGGTCTATGGACTTTTTCTAGGCTCTATGTGATTCTTTGTTTCAACGTTTATGTAATTGTTACTGCTTACATTAACACAATTTTCCCATTTATTGTTTAAACATTTTTACAAATTACTGAGTTTGAGAGACCCTAATCAGAGTCTGCAACATATCACACACAGACACACACAGCAGCAGCACACCTGAAGATGCACATTAGCATGCACATTAGCACACACGGATAGTCACGGATTGTCCATAACAAACACCATGTTCGAACATAAGGATGTTCATAAGTGTACGTGGTACCAGAGCACCCTAGGCCAAAGATCAATGATCGATTTTGTAATCGTATCATCTGATCTGAGGCCGCATGTTCTGGACACTCGGGTAAAGAGAGGGGCAGAGCTGTCAACTGATCACCATCTGGTTGTGAGCTGGGTCAGAGGATGGGGGAAGACTCGGGACAGACCCGGTAAACCCAAGCGTGTAGTGAGGGTGAACTGGGAACGTCTGGAGGAGGCCCCGGTCCAAAAGATTTTCAACTCACACCTCCGGCGGAGCTACTCTCACATTCCTGTGGAGGTAGGGGACATTGAACCAGAGTGGTCTATGTTCAAAACCTCCATTGCTGAAGCCGCGGCGGTGAGTTGTGGCCTCAAGGTCTTAGGTGCATCAAGGGGCGGTAACCCTCGAACCCCGTGGTGGACACCGGTGGTCAGGGAAGCCGTCCGACTGAAGAAGGAGGCCTTCCGGGTTATGATATCCGGTGGGACTCCAGAGGCAGTTGCAGTGTACCGACAGGCTCGAAGGGCAGCAGCCTCTGCCGTGATGGAGGCAAAGCAGCGAGTATGGGAGGAGTTCGGGGTAACTATGGAGAAGGACTTTCGGTCGGCACCAAAGTGTTTTTGGAAGACCATCCGGCACCTCAGGAGGGGGAAACGGGGAACCATCCAAGCTGTGTACAGTAAGGATGGGACCCTGTTGACCGCGACTGAGGAGGTTATCGGGCGGTGGAAGGAACACTTTGAGGAACTCCTGAACCCAACTACTACGCCCTCTTTGGTGGAGGCGGAGCTGGAGGCGGAGGAGGGATCATCGTGACCTCCAACTCTCACTGGAGCGTTTCGCAGTCGAGTGTGAAGCGGTCGGGATGAGGATTAGCACCTCTAAATCTGAGGCCATGGTTCTCAGCAGGAAACCGATGGATTGCCTACTCCAGGTAGGGAATGTGTCCTTACCCCAAGTGAAGGAGTTCAAGTACCTCGGGGTCTTGTTCACGAGTGAGGGGAAGATGGAGTGTGAGTTTGGCCGGAGAATCGGAGCAGCGGGGGCGGTATTGCACTCGCTTTACCGCACCGTTGTGACGAAAAGAGAGCTGAGCCGAAAGGCAAAGCTCTCGATCTACCGGTCAATCTTTGTTCCTACCCTCACCTATGGTCATGAAGGATGGGTCATGACCGAAAGAACTAGGTCACGGGTACAAGCGGCCGAAATGGGTTTCCTCAGGAGAGTGGCTGGCGTCTCCCTTAGGGATAGGGTGAGAAGCTCAGCCATTCGCGAGGAGCTCGGAGTAGAGCCGCTGCTCCTTTGCGTCGAAAGGAGCCAGTTGATGTGGTTTGGGCATCTGGTGAGGATGCCCCCTGGGCGCCTCCCTAGGGAGGTGTTTCAGGCACGGCCAGCTGGGAAGAGGCCCCGGGGAAGACCCAGGACTAGGTGGAGAGATTATATCTCTGCACTGGCCTGGGAACGCCTTGGGATCCCCCAGTCAGAGCTGGTAGATGTGGCCCGGGAAAGGGAAGTTTGGGGTCCCCTGCTGGAGCTGTTGCCCCCGCGACCCGACCCCGGATAAGCGGTTGAAGATGGATGGATGGATGGATTAGCACACACACCCATGGGTCTTGGGCAAGAGACAAAGGACAGGACGCTGTCTGTGGAGCCGGTCTGGTAAGACAAAAGGGAGTCGTTCCGAGAGAGGTGCGACCCATAGGGACGTAGAGACGGTCAACAGTCCAGTGGGTGAATATATGTAAATAGTTAGTACAGAGGGAGACGTTTAAATGAGTGGGAAATAATGTGATTTGAGCCAAATCTGTAGACCTTGTTGTAAATAATTTGTTATTTTCTCTTAAACTTAGTGATAGGCTGCAAGTTGTTGAGTGTGGATATGAGATGTACAGTGCACGGTACATCTCATACAGCATCTTAATGACGGAAGCACATTTTTAGATCATAGGGCGTAACAGCAGTACAGAATGGGAAACTTTGTTACAGACCATCATCCTGTAATGATTTTATCAACAAACCATACAAACATGTAACTACACATATGATATATTGATATCATTTTCATTAGGAATAAATGAATGTTCTAGGTCACTAACAAACCATGAGTTGAGTTTTGAGTTCACAGGTAGAGAACGCAAGCAAGCTGCCCTGACGACTGAGGATGCAAGAATGCAAGTCCAATTGTGATGGAAAGTCACAAAGACAATGGTGAACTGACTGTAATGGTTGGGGCCCTCAGTGGGCCAACAGATGGTTGATCTTGATGAGCAAATGTAAGTTAAGTAGGACAAGAGGAAATTGAAAACTGATGGAGACACTCATAAGGTGTTTGACAGTACGGTAAATGGTAAGCGTAAGTGTAAAGATGGGAAAGAAGGTTAAATGGTTAAACAGTTGTTCAAAGTTTTTGTGATAGATCATCACACACATCCTGGAGCCCAGAGGGGCTGCAAGGAGAAAAGGAGGAAGCAGCGAACGGACTGGTAAGATGCAGAAGTCAAAGGGTGCAGACAGCTGACCAACAGGAGGGACTTAACCGGTCTCCCAATACAACAACAAACGGGATAAGCATAACTATTTTTACAGGGGTTCTGTTGAGAGTAACATAGTCTCAGAGTTCCGGATCAGAATTCGAAAACCACACACACTGTTTGAATGCAAATATTCTGTGTATCATGCTTTAATCATTTTTCTCTATCACTGCATAGGGACTGTTGTTTTCTTAATTTCTGTTTTTCAATTTAAAGGAAGCGCTCGCCAGCCAGCGTCGAACTTTGAGCCAATGCAAAGAAGTCTGAAGCTGACCTGATGCTGATTATGACACATTTATTTTGAGACATGTGTTAAAATAACACATGCCTCAACAGGAGGGATTAAGATATAGAAATATTTTTCCAAATTGAACGATGGGAAAACTTAACAAAAGAAATTACTAAAAGAAAGATTTAGATACCGGAGGAGGAACACCTGGGAAGAACACCCACACACACACCACCCACCCACACACACACACACACACACACACACACACACACACGTAGGCACCCCATTGTGCTTCTCTATTCAACAGCTGACCAGGGAATCCTAATTTTCCAACACCTCGGATCCCCCGATCAGTCTGGTCACAGGACCTGCGAGATTCTCAGGATCAAGAGAGTGGATCTCAATCACACGTCAATGACGACCACTACGCGTCGCCTGACCAAGCCTTTGATAACAAGAGGAAGTATACACTCAACCATAATCCCACAAACACTCTAGTTTTTGCACAAGTTATTACCACACGACTTTCAGATTAAGATTAAAGATTAATTTAAATCCATGCTAAAAATGATTGAGATATACGAGCAAATACACACGGTTGATATTATTGTGAGAACAAGAGATCAAGGTTCTTGATTTATAAAAATGTCCAAACATTTCCCTGATATAGAACTATACAGTAAATAGACATATTCACATTGAACATCTGGTCGGACGGTGAAAGAGATTCACCTTTCCGTTAAGTTGTACTTACTAAGGTAACAGTATTGTCCCGATTAAACAAAACATAACTATAGACACAGTGCACAACAGACAGGAATGCATCACCAATAATTGATAAACTACATGAACCTAAAAGTCACATCAGTAGAATGGAAGCTATGGGAATACCTGGGGGGTGTCTAATGAGTTTCAAGTCACACACAGGATCTAGAAGACGCACCTCTACCCCTGCTGGAGCAGAGAGGGATGACACAGAAGAGGAGAGACCACCTGTCAACAACCTGAGCGGCGCCAAAGGAACCGTGAGCAGTGACCAACAACCGTCATCTCGCTGAGAGGAAGGACTTCCTCAGCCCAGAGTCTGCTAGACCACCGTGCAGGACCAGGAGGAAGCATCAGGACCGACCACAGCAGAACCAGCACCGCAGAGCCGGACCAGAAGCAAGACTAGGACCGATTCAGAAAGGGTCCAAGCAACCTTCCGGTCTCCCTTTTGAGGGACAACACAGTTCCAAGACCACTTCACACTAATGGGGGACAACGACAGCCCAGCACAGGCATAACCTCAGACCCACGGGTCACATCAGAGCCATAGATTTCCAGTACAGACACTCTGTCTTCCAAGCCCCTCTACAAACACTGCCCCATGGACAACAACAACCATTGAGCATGAGAGATCTTGAGAATGATCGAGAAAACACCCTCACACACAACTGGAGGTGAACCACTGCTGAAAGCTCTCACTGAAGAACCAGCAGAGAACAGTGACATTGACAACCGCTACTCAGGTTTATTGGACTCATGATTTAGTAAATACAAACAATTGTTTATTTTTGTGATAACAGTCTCCATTATGGCCAGCATTCTATTCCTAGGTGGATGCTGTTGCATCCTCTGCATTAGGACACTTATCATTAGAATCATCAGAGAAGACCAGCCCCATGATGCCATTAGGTTTTATTAAATTAATGTGTCCTGTATCAATTTATACTGTACACATGACATCCATGATGAAATGTTAAATCCTGGGAGAAGATCTTTCAATCTCTCCGACAGATTTCTTCCTTGTTTTATTCCCAAAAAGTGTTTTCGAGGGAGTTTTTGTTCTGTGCCAGGTACAAGTTAACAAGGTGTGTCCAGATGCACATCTTATGATTAGAATGTGTAGGATCAAGCGTGTCATATTGGATCGAACGTTATGCTAAACAAATAGAGACGACACATCTGACAAAACTGAGGAATTTGATGAACCAATCCACCAAGGGATGGATTGTAGGATATTAGAAAGAAATATACGACCCGGTTCATAAAATTAATAAAATGCATATAGTGTACACCAGAATACAGCCATGATTCTGAAACTGTGTAATCCATAAAGTAATGACAATATTGTAAAACCACTGTAAATCTGCAACTGTAATAGAATAATATCGATGCAGTTATGATTGTATTTGATGTAATGTAATCAACTGGAATGCATGCATGTAATACTTGCACAACCACTGATATTGACTAAGGATCATCCGAAATCCGAGTTACACTGAACTCACCAGAAGACCACTCCCAGAGGTGTGGACACTGACTTTCACACCTTTAAGCATTGTTATAAATACCTGTAGGAACCATTGTTCTCGAGTTCACTGGTGGAGGCGACAGACGGGCACTAGGGATGGTCAAAGGACTGACCTGGGGCCTGTTGGTCGCTGAGACCAGCGGCTCCTCAGCTGAGATGTTCTTTTTACCGCAACGCCATCTCCTTTATTAAATACATTTGATTTGAACCTTTTGATCAGCGATGACCTCTGTCCGTCCGGCGTTTCTTCATTTTTGAACACAACAATGCCTTGACCAATGGAGGGATTTGGGACCATTTGTGGCTCAGTGTGAATCTCTCACTGACTGGGAGGAGACAATCGATCCGCTCGTTCTGCGCTCTGCCTCTACAGGGTTTCACAGAACTCACTGTGTACTCCTCACACCAGCTTGTCGATCTGTCTATGTGTTTTATGAGCACAACGACAAAGTTGAAACATTTTTAACAACTCCCACGTCAATTTCTCCCCCTCTTCTGTTCCACAGACACTCTGGGCGGCACACAAATATGACGTAGGCTTGATCAACAACTGCCAACCGGTCGTCATCACTCCACGTTCTGACTTCCGCCCCCACAAACATCAGTACCCCCTGCGACAAGAGGCCATTGACGGTATCACACCTGTATTCAATTCGCTCCTGGAGGCAGGAGTGATAGTTCCATGTCCAGACTCACCGGTCAGGACGCCAATATTTCCAGAAAAAAAAATCAGAGATGCTGGCAAGCCTACAGAATGGCGTTTCGTGCAGGACCTAAAAGCAGTAAATGCGGCCGTTCATGCGCGGGCACCAAATGTTCCTAATCCTTACACAATCCTAGCTCAGATTCCTCCTGAAGCTAAATGGTTTTCTGTTGTTGACCTGTCGAATGCTTTTTTCAGCGTGCCAGTCGACAAAGACAGTCAATTTTGGTTTGCATTCAACTTCAACGGAAAGCCATACACTTTCACCCGTTTGTGTCAAGGCTATACCGAATCACCCACAATCTACAATGATGCGCTCAGAGAAAGCTTGGAGAGCTTAACGCTCTCTCCCGGCTCTGCACTTCTGCAGTATGTTGACGACTGTTTGATTGCAGCTCCAAATCAGACACAGTGTCAGACAGACACGCTTAAACTACTCAAACATTTAGCGAAGGAAGGCCACAAGGCCAGCCTTTCTAAATTACAATTTGTGTCTCAAAATGTGCATTTCCTGGGTCATGACATATCTGGAGAAGGGCTGCATGACTTCCGTGCTGCTACAATCCCATGGTGATAAACTCCGCCCGGTGGCGTACTTCTCCGCAAAACTCGACCCTGTCGCTGCAGGACTGCCACAATGTTTGCGCGCTGTGGCCGCGGCTGAAAAGGCGCTCACTGCCTCACGTGACATAGTGGGTTACGCACCACTCACTCTTCTCGTTCCGCACGCGGTTTCTTTGATTCTCCTCGAACAGAAATCATCTCACCTCTCTGCGGCTCGCTATTTGCGTTACCACACGTGTCTCCTGGACATGCCGAATGTCACTATAAAACGTTGTACTAACCTTAACCCGGCATCATTACTTCCTATTCCTGGGGATGGGGAGGACCACAACTGTTTGGCTGAGCTCCAAGCTCAGTGCACTCACCGCCCTGACCTAGTGGACACTCCACTAACTAACAGCGACATGGTAATGTATGTGGATGGATCCGCCTCCCGCGATCCTCAGTCTGGTGAAAATCGTGTTGGTTTTGCTGTTGTTTCTGACTCTGGTGTGCTGTGTTCAGGTCCTCTGCCATGTCACCTCTCAGCCCAGGCAGCCGAGCTCATCGCTCTGACCGAGGCCTGTAAACTGGCTAAGGGTAAAACAGTCACAGTTCACACTGACTCTCGCTATGCGTTTGGTGTAGTACATGATTTTGGGGTGCTGTGGAAACACAGGAACTTCCTTAAATCGGACGGTAAGCCCATCCTACACCACACTCTCATTGCTGAACTGTTGGAATCCATCTTGCTACCCACAGCTATTGCTGTCTGTAAATGTGCTGCCCACACGTCCAATACGGATGATGTATCACAGGAAAATGCTCGAGCAGACTCGGCTGCAAAAGCTGCTGCTCTGCTTCCGCTTCCCACTACCTGTGCTCTCGTGTGCTCTGAGGAGTCAGTTCCCTCCTCTCTTACAGCGATGCAGTCACTCTCTACCCCTGATGGAAGACGGCTTTGGTCCACATCTGGCTGTGTTTACACCAACGGTATCTGGACTGGACCCGAGGGCAAGCCGTGTTTACCTAAACACTATTTTGCTCATTATGCTAAGTTGACTCATGGTTTAGACCACGTGTCAAAAGGGGGAATGTTACGTGCACTTAATGAGACGTGGTTTACAAAAGGGTTCACAGCATATGCACAAAAATTCTGTTCTGCATGTGTCACCTGTTCTACTCACAATGTAGGCAGGCCCGTGGGCATGTCCAGCCAGGCTGCACACCCACCACCAACCCGCCCATTTGAGCACATTATGATGGATTTTGTGGAGTTGTCTCCATCTGAAGGTAAGAAACACTGTCTAGTGATGGTAGACATGTGGGTTGAAGTTTTTCCATCAAGCAAACAAACCACTACAACAGTAGCCAAGGCCCTAATTTCTGAAATCATCACTCGATGGGGCGTTCCTTCTAAAATATCAAGCGACAATGGTTTTCATTTTGTCAACCAGGCCATTACAGAATTAAGCGCATACCTGGGTATTGATTTAAAAACACACTGTGCATACCATCCAGCCAGTGGAGGGGCTGTGGAACGAGAAAATGGCACACTCAAAACCAAATTAGCAAAATGCTGTGCAGACACAGGTCTGCCCTGGACAAAAGCCCTGCCTCTAGTGTTGATGTACATGCGCATGAGAAAACGAACACGAAGCAACCTGAGTCCCTTCGAGATATTGTTTGGTTTTCCTCCTCACGTAGGAACCGAGGCACCGATGGCACCACTCCCTTCAACCGCATTATGCAAACATGAAATGTTAACATATTGTGCACAACTCTCTTCTGCTCTGTCTAACATACGACAACAGGTTGCAGCCGCCCTCCCAAAACCAGCTGAAGGACCACTCCACAAGCTGAAACCTGGTGACTTTGTGGTGGTGAAAGACTTCAGGAGAAAAAAATGGAAAGCACGACGCTGGCAGGGACCATTCCAGATCCTCCTCGTCACCCAAACAGCTGTTAAAGTAGCTGAGAGGGCAACTTGGGTCCACGCATCCCATTGCAAGAAGGTTCCAGATCCAGTACCAGCAGTGGGCTCAGGCGACCCTACCCCCACAACAAGTGTCAATCAACCGACACCACCGATCCAGTGACCACGGACGGGCAGTTGACCGACAGACACACAGTGCATTGTGATCTGTGTTGACTGTCTACAACGCGGATGCCTCACAAGAAAAAAGGTTGGCAGACTCCACATCCCAACGTGTACCTGCGGACCAACACAAGAAGAAGAACACGGCCAGGACCCCTCCACATAGACACAGTAGTCGTTTGTGTCACTACGATTTTATTCATATTATTGCTTGCTTCAGTTTCATTATCTAAGTATCTTTTTGTGATTTTGTAATCAGCTATCTAAAGAGTGGTTTACATTTGCTTGCTAAACACGAGACATGGTCTCACAAAAACATATATATATATTTTTTGCAATATTATGTGTGATTAAAGAATAATCAAAAGAGTGGAATTTAATGGTAAAAAAATATGTTATAACATTGTTTTGTGCTAAAGCCGTGTCTCAAGTGTCCTATATTTGACCCTGATGTGCAAAGATGATACAAAATGTTGGTTTGCAGCTGTGCCCTGAGAAGGGAGGACGGTTGACTAGATCTCATAGAAGCTTCAAAGCAAAGGACTCCTCTTCATGGCCTTGGTTGATATCTTATTCTGCACGAAAGTTCTGGATCCAAGTTTTACTTTCATGTCAAGTAACAATGATTTGCAGCGGCCATTGAGGAGGATCTTGTGTGTGTGTGCTACCCTCAGCTTCACCTGGGTTCTTATCTCAACCTGCTTTGCAGCTTCTCGTAGCTGGCACGGAGAATGTCCTTCATATGTGTATAAAAACTCAGTGTCTTTGGTGCTCAGAGACGCCATTTCCACAGTGCACCGTGATACGTGCCTGTGTATTTGACCTCCTGCTTGCAAGCAATAAATGGACTTTTTGCAACTTTGATCATTCATCAAGACTCTGTTTTATCAGACAAATCATTCTCTTCTACCAAGCTTTTATTGAAATATTCCACAACAACAGACAACAATTTACTATTACAAAATGTTTAATAATGACGAGTTCCTAATCAACAAATACAACCTGAAATGGGGAAAATCCAAAAAGATTCAATGAGAGCCAGATGCTTGTCTGTGCTGGGAGACAAAATGCTATGACTGGCCAGTCATCATTTCCGGGACAGTAATCAGTGAAGGAACAATTTAATGTTTGGTTCTGTAAATTCTTTTTTTTTTTTAAACCAACAAGCAATTTCTAGTACTGTGTACTGATATTAACAAACAGGCCAAACTTGTATTTCAATATTTGTTTCCATTAATATAGTTATCCTGATATTCAACATTATTGCATGTCCTATAATTTCCTCATATCATTTAGCCCCAATTTACTGAGGCAAACTTGAGAAGGTATCCAAAATATATCTTCACCTGAAAATAAGAATATTTCTGTATTTATTACCATTGAAAAAGTGTTTTACTCTACTCAATTAGTCTGCAGAGTACCCCCGAAAAGATGGGATTCTTTTTTGCATTAACTGATGGCCAGTTTATTTGTCAGACACGCTTGGAAAAGGAGGAGTTAGGAGAAAGGTTTTCACCTGGTTGCAATATGCAACTTTGTCACAAGAAGCCACTAAATCTTACACACAGAACCGTATAAAGTAATAGTTGTTCGCATTATCTCAACCTGTACGTCTCCTTCCCAGAGTACTCTTTACTTTGTGAACAATATATTATGATAGTAAAAACACTTTATGTACCAATTCATTGAACATCACGGTTTTAGTATCACCTCAACCTGTGCGTCTCCTTCCCAGAGTAAAGAGAACACAGCAGAGTAGCTCCCATTCTGATGATCCACAACTTGCTCGGCCACACCTGCTTCAAGCTTCCGGTTGTGCAGACTAGCGGTTATGAAGTCCCCCCCAGACTTCTTGGGACGACCCTGGAAGTCAAAGGTTTGTATCAGAACCTCCAGCTGGTCCCCTACATGCCACTGCCCCCCTTTCCTCCCTGGGAGAATGGTGAAGGTGCTGTTGGCTGGATCAGTGGTCTGCTCCAAGGAAATAGGAGATGGCAAAAATGGAGTTTCAGGCCAAGCAATGGAGTCTAGTATGAGACGTTCCTCCAAAGCGTCCTGGGGGGACAGCGGCTGGAAGGTGCAGAAGCTGCGATTAACGATATGATGAGGGGAGACTCTCGGGATGATGATGGTGGCATTGACTTTAGGATGAAACTGGCAGGGGGTAAAGAGAGACAGGGTGTCAAATATGCAACAGATATTTAACTAAATTCAGCAAAAGACAGGGAGGATTATTTTCCTCCCCAAAACTCATAAATTACTTTGGGGATGATTGAAACTTGCAGTTTGGTGGTGTTGACTTGTAGCTGACACTGGCAGGGGAACAAAAGAGAGAAGGTGTCAAAGATACATCAAACGATCCCAATAAAAGTTCTTACCTGCAAAACATCCATGTGACGTAGCACAGAGATTAAGGCAAAGACAGCCACAAAAAGGAAGATGGAATGGTACGGCCTTCTTGTACAGCATGTTGTCCTCATGGTCATTAGTCTTGCCCTTCACCTTCGGCAGAGCACTTCCTTCTTAACTGTATTAAAAAAAGACATATAAAAAAAGAAAAGGAAATGGGTAATCAATGCCTTGTTATGCTGGAGAAGATTACTAGTTAGGGTTGAATTTGTGAAATCCTCCCTCTATTCTTTGTTTGACTTTCAATCTTGAATTATAGGAATACATTTAATTTATATGACGTTTTAAAAGGTAGTCAGTAGCAATTGACTAGGACCAGGACACTCCTTGTTTGAACAGAACTTTCTCACTGTCTTACTCAACAGTTTTTCTATGTATCATCATTTTTTTGCGACAAGAAAACACAATGCTCAGGGTTTCCCCTCGGTTTACAACTTCTGCAAATATGCTCAGATGGGCATATTTGCGATATATATTCATGTCAGGGTGGAACTGTGTGGAAAAACTTTTCAACGTTTTCAGCGGCGGGGTGCCCCCCTGTTATAATGGGGTAGGAGAAACACTGATGCTACTTCCTGGCTCTTCCAAGAAAAATCTGTAGACTTCTCATATCTACAGCTTAACACTATATTAACAGTGTTACATATGCAGCAAGAACTATATTAGTTATCTTATGCAATCAAACAATTTACAACAAAAGGAGAGGGAGGGGTGTAGACGGACGATGTTTTTTAGATGGAAGAAGGCGGTTTTTGTGATGTGCTTGATGGGAGGTTTGAAGGAGAGGGTTGGGTGGAAGAGGACACACAAGGTTGCAGATGAGTTGAACTTGGAATTAATGATGTTAATGAACTGATGCAAGTTCCTCCCTCCCTGCACCCCTTGTGCAACACACGGGCAGATGAAGTTAGATCAATTTAGTTCAACTTTTAGATAACGCAGTAAGGACTTGGAGCAGTTGCAATATAATATGTTATTTAAAAAGGGCCCCCGGGAGAAAAAAAATACTTCCAGTGAGAGTTCAAACATGGTGACATAGACGGGAAAACTCTCCTGGTCAAATTAAGGAAATAAGACTCCATCGATGGGGGACATAACTTTTAAACTAAAACTAAAATGAGTTTTAGTATGAATTTTAATGATTTATGAACCGGGTGGTCAATTTATTTATAATATCCTGACAATTTCTGCCATTTAAAAAAATGAAGGTTACCGTTAGAAAGTCGTTAGAATGACGAGATGTGCGCAGGCTCCTTGCAGCAGGTTGTTGGCGTCATTACGGTCACAGAGAGGTTTCATTTGTGTTTTAACAACGTCTCGCCGGGAAGTCCGAATCTGTGAATATAATACCACACTGCGCACAGTGGTCCGCTTTTAACGGAGTCTAAATCATTTCCGGTTTTTCCGAGTCTGAAATAAACCAAACTTATTGGGAGGTAAAATACGTTCCGGGTGGTATTTATTCCGTAACAGTCGTTCTCTTGTAGTGTCGGCTCTGCGCATGCGCGCGCGACTTTCAGTCTGGGCGTCTCCTCTGTGCTCTGACTGCAGCCTGACTGCTGCAAGCCGCCAGATTTCTGTACGACTCTCTAAGGACAGTAACTGCAAAACAATATGTGCTTTCACGTCAGACACCACAAAAATATATTTTTTAGTGGCGGAAGTGAACTTCTATACATCCCCCCATTGTCATTTTGATTTGTTGGTATATGGATGAACCACACGTGACTGGGGTGTGGTGGAGATACTTTTCTTTAGCAAAGAGGAAGCTCTTACTTGAAAGAGGACAATTCTCCACAGCACATGGTGTTCTGGGTTTATCTGATAATCAACATGTTTGTGCAATGATGTTTATAATGTTGTGGTGTTGTGGCAACTGTTTGCAAAAATTAAATGTCCTTTTTGATGATATTACACGGTGTCGAGTGAGAATTCTTCTAACAGGATATAAGAACACTTTCTAAAGATCCAATGCAAACTGCAGAAAGATGAGTGGCCATACTAGTACACAACTCTTAATTTTGACCTTGTCAAAGAGATCAGGGACAGTGAAGGCAGATATGTTGTAGTGCAATCAAAATAGAAAACAAATTAACCTCACCTCTGTGTTTATTTGCCCCAAGGAACCAGTTTTATTAAAAAAATACTTGATGTAATCTCTTCGAACATGTTTTTAACTGTATGCGAATCTTTTATTGACAAGCTACTCAACAACAACACCGTCAAATAAATGTATTGTGATGTACGTATAGTACAAAATTCCCATTGAAATGTGGTGGAGCAGAAGTAGTAGAAGTATGAAAAAACATTCACACGGGTACAGGACATTACGTTGAAGGAAGCGCGGCGGCACTGCCTCAAACAGCAGCTCCACGTCTAGTGCGGGTCAGGAAGCGCGCTCGTGTCGGAACAATATCCGTTGGTGAAGGGTAGTGATGGAAGCTCAATGTTATTTATGGAAGACAGAGCGAACCCTTGACACAAACCAAATACTTTTAAAAGCTTGTGCCAGAAAGATCACATACGAAGGGAGAGTTGTGCCTTTGCGCAAACAAACTGAAGGCGTTTCTTTATGTCTTTGTACTCAAAGAGAATCAAATACGCTTCCAGACACCGTACCCCGCCGGGATGAGGATCCACTGCGTCTACAACAACGCCGCAGCCGAAGACATGAGACAGGAGGCTGAGGTCCATCAGGACTAAGACCTCCCGCCACACGAACAGCTTCTTCCCGTCGGCAGTCGGGCTCGTCAACCGATCGCGGTCCCCCACTGACTCTGACAATCCACCGGTCACTTTCTTCACACGACACACGGCACTTACTCCAGTCACTTTCTGTTCGCTGGTGCACTTTATTTTTACTTTTTAAACATTGTTGGCCATTGTCGCACTGTCTGCTGTTACGCACCAACCGCCAAGTCAAATTCCTTCTATGTCGGACATATTATGGCAATAAATGTTTACTGATTCCTGATGAGACCTGCCGCAGACACCGGGCATCAGCTGGGAACAGAAAGTTACTTACCATACACGCCGCTGAAGAGGTACCTGATATAAATGCCTAAACATCACCACCCGCCAAATTCATTTTTTTGCACCGAAAGCTACTGACATTTTCCGCCCTCAAACCGGTGGAAGCCCATTTCCGCCACTTAAAAAAAAAAAAAGAAGGGTGCCGTTTGAAAGTAATTAGAATGACAAGATATGCGCATGCGCAGGCTCCTTGCGACTGGACGAAAGGTCGGTCTCGTCTTTAGAAGAAAAAAAAAGAAGGGTGCCGTTAGAATGAGTTTTGCGCATGCGCAGGCTCTTTGCAGCTAATTGTTGACGTCACTACGGTCGCAGAGAGATTTCGATGACAGTAATCGCAAAACACTCTGTACTTTCACGTCGAATTCTTCTAACAGGATATAAGAACACTTTCTAAAGCTCCAATGCAAACTGCAGAAAGATGAGTGGCCATACTAATACACAACCCTTAATGTTGACCTTGTCGAAGAGATCAGGGACAGTGAAGGCACACACTAAAAAAGGTAGGGTTAAAAATAACCCGATTTGGGTTGTTTTATAACTCAACCGCTGGGTCACTATTGCACCAAGCTAGCAGTAGTTAATTTGACCCAGCACTATGGGTTGGCCATTTTAACCCAACAGATTAGTTAAATATTCTACCCAAATGCTGGGTCAAATTAACTACAATTCTGGGTTGTTTCAGCTACATATAGTTGTTATATATTCTACCCAAATGCTGGGTCAAATTAAATACAATTCTGGGTTGTTTCAACTACAGATAGTTGTTGTATATTCACCCAAATACTGGGTCAAATTAACTACAATTCTGGGTTGTTTCAGCTACATATAGTTGTTATATATTCTACCCAAATGCTGGGTCAAATTAACTACAATTCTGGGTTCATTCAACTAAACACTATTTGTTGTCTATAAAACTGTTCAACTACAAACCTGTAAAATACATGCTAGATTTGTTCATGCAAAGGACATATCATAATTAACACTTAACTACAATTAACTACAATATTGGAATTCTAAAATTAATATATCATAAAATATCCACAATATAAAATGAATTGTAAGTTTTAATCACTATCAACAAAATGGGGCTGCAAATGATCATTTCCATTATCGATTCATCTGTCAATTATGTAAATGATTAATCAATTAGTTGTTGTGTGTAAAATGTCAAATGTTGAAAAACCACAAGATGACATCCTCAAATCTCTTGTTGTGTCCACAAAGAGACACTCAGTTTATTATCATAACAAAACAATGATATCCATCACAAAGAATGCCTTGAAGCAGACATCAATTGCCTGAAGCAGTGCGTTGTGTACCAGAGCCTGTCCAGCAATGATGACGAAGGCCTGGGACGCTTGATGTTTGTCGTTTCCCAGTGTCAGGACATACGGGTGCGGTCTGGATGCCTTGGCCTCATGTAGGTACTCGACCATGTTCATTCCACGCTAAAAAAGAAGATAAAATAAGATGAAGCTGTATTACTTGTGCAGTTTTTAAAAAGTATAAGGATTTAATTTAAAAAACATTTTGATGAATACAAGCAGGATAAAACGTTCTTACCTTGGCAGCTCCTGACCAAAAATGGAGTATTCTTGTGTCACTGTAGGGTCAGACGTTGGTGGCTGTGTGGGGTTACCTATGCGCTTTTGCAGGGGGTTTTGCAGACTTCTGTGGTTCAAAACAACCCAGCTGCTGGGTAAACCGATGTATGTTGGGTCGATGAATTTTGACTCAGCGCATGAGTTGCACAAAAATAACCCAACCCCCCTATAAATAACCCATAATGGGTAGAACATGTCATAAGTCAGCGTTTGGGTAGATGAAATAACCCAGCAGTTTTTATTGTGCAGATATGTTGCAGTGCAAGGCAAAATAGAAAACAAATTGACCTCACCTCTGTGTTTATTTGCCCCCACAAAGGAACCAGTTTTATAAAGAAATACTTGTGATCTCTTCAGAATCACATGTCACACTAATATGTGCAGGAGACTTTAACACATTGCTAAGAGATACGGAGGAGATGGGCTTACCTTTTGGAGGGTCCTACACCCATCGGAATGATAGTACACTTTCTACTCTGAAGAAATCTGATCACATTTTGAATGCATAATTGTATAAAAATGTTCTAACATGTTTATAACTGTATGTAAATAGCAATACCGTTGAATAAATGCATTGTGGTGTACGTATAATACAAAATTCCCATTGAAATGCGGTGGAGCAGAAGTAGGAGTATGAAAAAAACATTCACATAGGTTCTGGAAATTACAACGTCAACTGATTTTTGATTAAATTAAACTTCATATTTACTTTGTTTAAGCATTTTACGTGACTTACCTGAGAAAACATTTTTTTGCAGAGTCTAATATTCAGATTGTGATCCAGAACATTGAACAAATCCTATAAAAGAAGTGATTAGTTTGTAACCTTGTTCACTTTTGTGCTCAGACTGCCACTCCAATCACAGACGTAAGTTGGTAAAAATGAAGTATGAAAGGTTTATATCAAACTGAGATATAAAGTTAAATAAACTTATATCAAATATTTACGTGTGTGCCATAAATGTTTGTTTAATAAAAGTGATTTAAGCTTATCTTTGTAAATGACTTCATTATTGTGTGAATTTACACATTTTCAATGTGAATTGCATGTATGTGTTGTCACACAAGGGCTTTATAGTTTGGTACAATATTGTTGTATTTGTAGTTTTACTTTAGATATCATTTCATGCAATATTCCAGTCGACTTCATTCAATTGAAATATCTATAGTTACTAATTACTGGATGACAGATTACATATATTACATTACATATTACATTTTGACATCATTTAAAAAGTCCATAAAACAATATATTGCTGACGATCAAACCACCGTGCCTTCACCGTTTTGGCTTGTCACTCCAAACCAAAAGCTGTCACGTCACAGATGAGTAGAGGCGTCTGATCTGTAGCTGCAGCTGCGTCTGATCTGTAGCTGCAGAAACCTGTCTACATTTACTTTACTGCACATTAAGATGTGTTGTTTAGGATGCCACCCACTTGCCACTGCCACTGCCACAAGGAGGATCTCGGCCTTACTGCAAAAGTGTCTCTACTCCCTCACCTGTGAAAGAGCTTCTCCTCATTGGCTCTGATGTTTTGTGTCGTTCCTCCCATGAAGTGGTTGATCCTCGTATCGCAGCCCAAGTTCTTTGGCTTGTAGCAGAACCAAGGCTCGCCTGTACGGAGGTCAGTAAAGTTACACAGCGGCTGTATTGTTGGCCGAAGGCAGACGTTGCAAATGGTGGTTTCAGAGAGAGAGCCTGAGCGGAAGACGCTCTTGAAGTAAATCCTGCCGGGCTGTTCTTTGTTCAGCCTGTCCAGCACTGAGAAGGCCTCACCAGGGTGAACCAGAGTCACCTGATTGGAAAGAGAACCAGAATCAATTTCACCAAGTTAAATCACAATGAAGCTCCTCAAATCAAATTGATAAAGATATATGTCTTCAAGTTCTCCACCAGATGGCAGTCAAATTATTCCCCTAAACACTTCCCTGATTGTCAAATAAACAACAGTATTTAGAAAGGTCTGTCAAGCTAGAAATGTTGACTGTAGGGTGGAGACTGTGCATTCTCATATAAAAACATTTTTAGGGAGTTGGTCGACCTTATTTGAACTTGTTCAAAAAACAAAAATCAAAAGAGTGTGACGGCCCTGCCTATTGGCTCATGTCTGTGATGTCATTGTCTGTTTCTCCGAGGTGATTCCATCATTGAGAGCAGCTGGGGGTTCCAGCGGTATAAAAGCGCATGGTTGCTACCTGCCAGCGTCACTGGTTTCCCTGGCCAGCGTCCGCATCTTTGTTTGGGTCTCTTGGCGTTTATGTTCACAACACTCAACACTATGCAAGATCAAGCACACACACTGACATGACTGAAACTACTGACGTACACACCTCATATTTGCTTTACTTTTGGTTTTGCTACTTTACTTATTAAATATACTTTTATATCGGCTTTGCACTGTGTCTCTCACGTTTTTGTGATCTCCTTTGAGCCGGGTCATGACAAGAGCAAAGTCCTTAAAATTGAGTAAATGTTTTGATTATTTTGTATGAACAACTTACCATGTTGCTTTCTTTATCACCTAACTACTTACATAATATAATAACATTGCCTTAGTTCCAAGACTATGGTGTATGTAAATGTAAAGTTACTTTTACATGCCGAGCTGCTTCTGGAGATTAATGTAATGTTGGCAGCACGGTCTTGTTTAATCATATTTAAAACCCCAGCCAAAGTTAAGATGAGAAACAGCACATCAAACAAACAGCATTTTGTTGCTAGTATCTTAAAGGCTTTCTAATCGTGCTAATAACAATAATGCACTCTCTCATCATTGCTAGCAGTTAAATAAATCTTCTACTGACAGTACTACACACATGAAAATCTGCTGTACGAAAAGTCTCAGGTTAATAAATCGTTACCTGTTACCTTAAACTCCATAGGGACTCTGCGATAATTGAAAATTAGAAGAGGCAGGACTTTGTGAACAATATATTATGATAGTAAAAACACTTTATGTACCAATTCATTGAACATCACGGTTTTAGTATCACCTCAACCTGTGCGTCTCCTTCCCAGAGTAAAGAGAACACAGCAGAGTAGCTCCCATTCAGATGGTCCACAACTTGCCCGGCCACACCTGCTTCAAGCTTCTGGTTATGCAGACGGGCAGTTATGAAGTCCCCCCCAGACTTCTTTGGACGACCCTGGAAGTCAAAGGTTTGTATCACATAACCTGCTGGTCCCCTACATGCCACTGCCCCCCTTTCCTCCCTGGGAGAATGGTGAAGGTGCTGTGGGCTGGATCAGTGGTCTGCTCCAAAGAAATAGGAGATGGTAAAAGTGGAGTTTCAGGCCAAGCAACGGAGTCTAGTATGAGACGTTCCTCCAAAGCATCCTGGGGGGACAGCGGCTGGAGGGTGCAGAAACTGCGATTAACGATATGATGAGGGGAGACTCTCGGCATGATGATGGTGGACTTGACTTGAGGCTGAAATTGGCAGGGGGTTAAGAGAGAGAAGGTGTCAAAATACATCAAACACTTGTACTGAAAAATGAACCCATACGAATTGAAAAGGCAAGGCGTCGGTAATAATTATTTCATAGGGGAAATTTACAAGGAGGTTTGGCTTTCTGTTTTGCACAAGTAAAAAATGTAAATGTTACAATTTCTAGAAAGATATACATTTTTTGCATTTTTTGCATTTCGTATTTTTAAAAACTGCAGTCTTTTCAGTTGCAATGGTTGGATAGTGCTCAATGGTATGGTCTGCTTCTCCACACTCACAGGTGTTTGGGCCAGTTTGTTAAGATCTATGTCTCAGTTAGAACGAATAAAAAAAACAGGTTGTAAAATGTTTGTGTGTGACCTATCGAAGAAATTAAGTACGTTATTCACCTCAGTTTTCACGATAATTCCAGTTTAACTTTCAGACTCAGCATGTCTCTCATGACTATGACTACCCCGCTCTCATGTCTTCCCAATGTGCTCATTGCAGTTCCCCTTTCCGATTGCGTCCACCTGTGTCTTGTTGACACCCCCCCTTTTGTACATAAGTTAGTGCAAGTTTGTCTTGTATCAAGTGTGTCAGCACCTTAATGCCCAGTAAGTAGTTTACAACCTCGATTACACTTACTGGATTTCGGCTCTGCCTGACCCTCTTAAACTTATGCCTTCAAATGTTTTTGTGTAACAAACCTTGCCTGTCCTTGACTACATTAATGAATAGAACGTCCTGTGACTTCTACATCTGTCTCAAGAGTTGTGTACTTGAGTCCTCCTTTGGCTATGCCTGTCAGTTATAGAATAGTGTCAGTTTCATCCTTTGACTGCAGGAGCTGCTGCTGTCAGCATGTCAAAGTGCAGGATTGAGAGGAAAAATACAATTTTTCATCAAATTACATTCATTTATAATGAACATTTAAAACACATTTTAATACAAAGCCAGACTACTATGAAATAATTGAAACAAGGTCCTTCCTTCAAAAAAGTTCTTACTTGCAGAATGTCCATGTGATGTAGCACAAAGATAAAGGCAGAGACCATCAGAAAGAGGAAGATGGCGCTGAAATCCCTTCTTGTACAAGATGTGGCCTTCATGATCAGTGGTAAGTCTTCACCTTCAGCGTAGTAGCAGCAGGAACTGTATATAAAGAAAAAAGTCGATTAGATTTTTTTTTAAATCCAGCCTAAGGGTGATCCACAGCCGGAGCGGTTCAACCACACCCTGCTGGATATGCTGGGAACCCTGGAACCACCCGACAAAAACAAGTGGAGTAGATACATAAGCCATCTTGTCCATGCGTATAATTTCACGTTGAATGAGTCCATGGGATAAAGAAGGCTTGGGATATTAAACGCTATGACCAGAGAGTGCGTTTTTGTCCATTGATATCTGGGAACAGGGTTGTGATCCGAAATCTCTGACTACACGGGAAGAACAAGCTTGCTGATTTCTGGAAGGTCGGTGCCTTATGATCTGGATAGTCAACTGTGTGGTTGCCCATGCCCGAGGTAAAACCAGAAAGTGGCAATGGCCTGTTGGAAAGGAAGTGCAGTTTCAACCTAACCTAAGATTGAGAAAGAACCCCAGTTCAAGATGGGGCTGTTAAAATAACCGTGGAAGCTTAGACAGACACTGAGACACTGACGATGAATGAAGCATCAGAGAGTCAAGACCGTGACAGAAAGCTCAGACGAGACAGCCCGACCTAAACGACTAAGAAGGGCACCAGACAGACTAACCTACGACAGGCTAGGAGCCCAACATCGGTCGTGGAGGAGCCACTCCAGTCAAAGAAAGATTGCACATTCTCATCTCCAATTACAAAAGCACTTGTCACAAGTAAATAGAACGAGGAAATAACACATTTTTTGTGTGGAGGGAGAGTGCAGCACCCTGCTAATTTCTTTACATGTGCTTGTTGTAACTTTATATTTACAACCGTATGGTTATATTTAACCGTACAGTGGCCTTGGGCCCACCTGCCGCAGAGTATGGTTGGAAAAGTGTTCAAGTTTCCATGCATTTGAACGTGTCCCGACCAATTGGTCGCACAGGTTTTCACAAGGGGGAGAGAATCAGAACAAGACAGGATTTTTTTTATGTGAAGGGTGCTGTGCGGATTGGGACGCTGAGGTCATTATCGTCTAGATGTACCTAGATGCAGCGGTTACGAGGCTAGAAGCTAACAAGTTCGGGGCCAATGGGCTAAAGGCAGTGGCGCGGCGGGGCGAGGGACAGGGGCAGCACAGAGCCTCCAGTGATCATTGCTCCTTCAACTGGACATAAGGGTATGGAAAGACGATATATGGGGGCTTCAAAGAACAGAGTACTAACCCCTCTTTTCTGGGTGGAGGATATACCTGAGCTCCGACAAGCACGCCGACCTACGGTACCATCTTACGGACTTGATTTTGTGGAGCCTTGTAAGGCATAAAAATAACCATTGTCTGTGCAAATGGCATGTCAAATGTGGAAAGTGACTTTTGACATGGCATTGTGGTTTTAATGCTGCTATTGTTGTTTAGGACTGTGACGACCTTCCAGACATGTCCCACACCCAATAATCTACAAATGCAGTGAGGGTCTTGAAGACGTACAGCGTATGAGATATTCTTGTTCAGAACTGAGAACTTTAGCTCAAATTGAACTGTTTGCTAAAAGTGTTTCTTTTGTCATGTAGTCCAGTTGACTTGCAATTGTTTATCTGTATTTATAAGACCAGTAGATGAAATCCAGCATTCTGATTGGTTGAGAGTGAGTCACGGGGGTGCATTATTGAGCAATAATGTACAGTTGCTGTTCTCATTGATCCGAGCGTTCCATATCACTGCGCAATCAAAGTAACAGGTTAGCTTTTGTGCAACCGTGAGTTGACATTTTAGCTTTTAGCTCTGTGGCAATCGCCGAAAAACCCCTGGTAATCCCACCAAATTGGTCGATCGGTTTCGGGCAATGCAAGCTTTTGCAACCGGACAATTAAGGTGGACATCATGAGCGATGTGACTAAATGAGATGGTGCTACAAACTACATATTCCCACTCAAAAGATGAAGGAATAGCCTTGATTCATGACATATTACACCTATGTGTTTCAATTCTGTATCCTTTTTGCACTTTAACATCCTGTTTAATGATTTTAGACCGAGTATGTCGAGTATCATTTTTCTAATAGACTGTATGAGCAAATATTTTTTGGTGTAGGAAGACCTTTTTTTGTAACAAAACTTTGTTCGACGTAGTAAACTATCTGCTTCTGGCTCCGGCTAATTCATTCATTTTAATGCTAATACTATGTTTGATTCTATAAACATGGTCATATATTTTTATCTGTATGTAAATATTAAATTGGCAGTATCCAATAATACAGTCAAATAACAACACAATTTGGATAATGTAGTGTGATGTACCATGGACAAATTCCCAGTGAAATGTGGTGAAGCAGAAGTAGTAAAAATTATAAAATATAATTTCACACATGTACAGAAATTACAATGTAACATAGTCATTTTGGATTAAAATTAACTTCATATTTACTGTGTTTAAGCGTTTCATGTGACCTACCTGAGCGAAGGTGCCTTTGGAGATTCTAATCATCAGATCGTGATCCGTCACTTGATCTCACTGTTTTACGGACACGATATTCTCTGTGTTTGACTTTTAGGTGTCTAGTGATGACATCCTGAATCTACGTCACAGTCAAAAACAAATACAGGAAGAATGGAGTATCAGGTTTCATCTAAATGAAACCTCCCTTTGAAATACAAATTTGCACTAGCAACTACAGAGAAGGACTTTCTATCAGCGCCAAAGTTCTTCTGGAAAACCATCCGGCACCTCAGGAGGGGGAAACGGGGAACCATCCAAGCTGTGTACAGTAAGGATGAGACCATGTTTAACGCAACTGAGGAGGTTCTCGGGCGGTGGAAGGAACAATTTGAGGAACTCCTGAATCCAACTACTACACCCTCTTTGGTAGAGGCGGAGGTAGAGGCGGAGCTGGAGGCGGAGCTGGAGGCGGAGGAGGGATCATCGTCAATTTTCCTGGTGGAGGTCACTGAGGTAGTCAAATAACTCCGCAGTGGCAAAGCCCCGGAGATTGATGAGATCCGGCCAGAGATGCTGAAAGCAATGGGTGTTGGAGGGCTGTCATGGTAATAGCTTAATTTGTTTCAATACATCCTATGCAATACACTGTAACGTCCCTTTACCATGTTCATACATCTAAAATCCCTTTCCAGTATAATGCATGTTAAGCCACGCAGGCTGCACAAAATCTCCTGTCCCTGATTTCAAGGGCCACATCTGAAGAACCCCAGGGACAACGGCAGGGGCAGAGTCAGGTGATGGAGAGATACTGAAACGGCTAGATAGGCAGGCATGCACTCATGTCAATCTGCCAGTGAAATGTGTCATTAGTCTGGTTTTTACTTTGATGGCAGAAGTGCAATTACGGAACTGTCATGTAATTGTGCCTTTATTTAACCAAATCAGTTTTGAATGGAGTTATCTGGTTGTGTTGTGTTCTTTACTCTGGAATTCTTGGACATAGTGCGCTTGGTTGAGAGGGCGATAGTCATTACATGAAGTCCAATGTGAAGAGGTTCGTGGCTGGGGAGGCACTGACTCTTTCAAATGTCAGATTCACAAATATATGAATTCAACAAAGTATCGTAGATTCAAGTGGTTGCTTTCACATTGCTACTGGTTGTTTCTTATTCGGTATCATATATTCTTTTATGATACAGTGAAGCGTTCTGATTAGTTGAGAGTGAGTCACCATGTACTGAATTGAGCCATAATGTAACGTATACCCGTTAACATTGACCTGAGCGTTCCATATCAGTGCGGTGATCAAAATAACAGTTTGATTTTGCACCACCATTGGTTGTCATTTCAGTTTTTAGCTGGGTGGCGATCGCCTAAAAAAAGCCCGGAAACGCTGCATGCAAGCTTTTGCAACCGATTTAGGGCGCCTTTAAGCCATAGAGGACAATTCAGTTGGACGTCATGAGCGACGTGAATGAATGAGCTGGTCCAACATTGAGCAGGGAGACCTATTTTCTGTAGGCTACACACAACGTTTGGTGCCAACAACATTTTTTGTGCTGAAAGGCAGCTATTTACTTACTATTAATAAGGTCGCGGAAACCGTATTACAAAAGCAATAAGGTTTGCCAAAAATATCCTTGAATTATTGACAATAAAGTACAGCCACTCGTACATTATTGCTTAAATCTTCTATTAAATTGTTTAATTATTATTAAAAATAGTGCTGGTCTTTTATTTTTGTCGTGTACAGCAGTATATGTCTCACCTTTACTTGTAAATTATGTTAAGTCCATTTGCCTATCCTTCTGGACAAACATCTCTATGACTTTGGTGTAAAAGTCCTCTTTATTTTCTTTTAGTTTCAACAGTCTCTTTGTCTCAATAGACATTATTGCTCGGGGAGAAAGTCGTCTTCGGTCAGTTCGATTCGGACTGTATGTTTTCAGTTTTCAAGGACTGATGTTTTGCACTTAAGTTCGCTACTTGACTTTTTTTGCTGGTGTAACAGGTGTTACTTGCCATCGCTAAGAGTCATGACAGGGTGTCACGTGGGTGCCCTCTAGTGGGTCCCTGCGGACGTGGGTGCGACACCCTGTAGCTAAAAAGTTAGTCTGCTGCAGGGTGTGTAACTGTTATGATGCCACAAGGTTCCTTCTGAGGACTTAACTTCTGTGTGTTCGCCAGGTGTCTTAACGTCACACAATAAACGGCCGATACGAGCCGAATATGGTCCATGTCCTGGTGGTGATTTTAACAACACAACGCAAGAAAGAGTACAACCGCTACACTGGCACATGGCAATTATGCCATCAGTCTGTAACATGTGAAGAAAAACACTAGCAGAACAAGCCCGTGTGCTCACACACGCCCCTTCTGTAAGACAGAGGTACTGGCTCAGCCTCACACCGCAGCGAAAAGCAGGCTGCCAGTCCAGCTGCCTCCCTTTACCGCTTTTCCACTGCGGCGTTATGTCAGATTAGCAAGACTAACATATGTGAAATACAGGACCCAGACCATGAGATGTGAGGACGTGTGATAAAAGTGTGTACAAATATTACATTGGTGACATATAGATATATTAATTGCACATGCTCAAATTGAGCAAAAGAATGAACAGCTCAACCAGGATCTCCATTATTTGTTTTTTACATTTCATGTTTGTTATCTTTTTTTGCATTGAATCATACTGGGAAATGCATTATGGACAGTTATAGTAAAATAATGCTATTTAAAAAGGGCACCTCATAGCGTTTCAATCGGTTCTAAGCACATGAGACACTGGTTTAGTGCTGCGTTATGAACAGAAACGAGACCGTCCATTGAGGATTAAATGCTTTAATTTTGTTGTCCACTTTTTTCTTTTTGGATAGCGGCATTTTTCTCAGCTGTCTTTCTCTCGCTTTCTCTGTCTCACTCGCCATCTTTTCTTCCTACCGTCTTTTTATTTGTAATTTGCCACTACCTCTCTCGTCTATCCGCAGTATTGAGACGGTATTTTCCTGCCTTGAATGGAAAGACTTGATTGGTTGAGTAGTATCACGTGGGATGGTTTAACTCGAATGTAATTGGTCTGTGCTTTAAGCCACTACCGTAAAGACGACCAAAGCTGCGCCGGTCGAAAAGTGCGCTGTCACGTTTAAAACACAACCATTTTCTTTAGCCTTTCGTCCGGATGGGACGGCTTCTGGGTCCGGATCCGGACCGCGTTCCGCCAGTTAGGGATCTCTGCACTAGAACATATATGCAGTGTTGATAGTGAAATTACATCTCATCAGAAACCTGTAGGAAACCGCTGCTTTTTGCCCCTTTTCGGTTAAACACAGATAAAGGAATAAAAATTAAAAAACACAGATGAGGGAAGCCAATATGGGACATTGTCACAAGACTCAATATGGTGAAGGCATCAATCTACCTGTGTAACTTTTGTGACTGAAAAGACACAAGACAGGCTCATGCACTTAAGATTGAGTTCAAGAAAAGGGACCACGGTCCTCTGTATTTAAGGGTGACAGCTTCAATTAAGAACAAACATTTTTACTTCTGTGACGGGTAGTGTCAAGGGGTCGGGCTGACGTCATCAATGAGCGTCCTATTTCACGGGCCGTCTCCCGTTCTCTAGCAGTCCGCTGAGAGGAGAGTAACAGGTAGGTCGCTAACTGGTAGGTTGTTTGTGATGGGGGAAATTGGCAGCTTATAGATCTCAACCTTGCAGGTTTTGCCGGCCGAGTGGAGCCCCTTCGGACGTCGTTGGGGAGGGTTTAGCTCCTCAGCCTTTCCAGGTGGCACACAAACTGCTGTTTTGCCGTATCCGGGTACGAGTAGCGATTAGCGATTGTAACCAGCTGATATCCTAACATTGTATGCGTCCGGTGCTCCGGTTTTGTTTCGGGTACTTGCCTACTGTTGTTTTATTTATTTCGAGCGGGGGGTGCCCGATGTGTGGAGGAATAGCGTGGGTATTTTCTTTGATCAGATTTTAGCATGTGGCGTGATATTGCATGAATTGTTTTTAACGCACTTTGTTTTGCCGTTGCGTGAGTGAGTTGCTGTGTGTGTGTTGCATGTTTATAGGTTGCACGGGTGATTAGATGAACTGGGGGATTCGCTGTCTCCACACTGACGCTCGCTCTACCCTCACCGTGTTTAGGGACCCGGGCAAGTACACAGATTGTTCGTGATAAGCGGTCAGACAAATTAGAATAGGTTTACGGTGTTTGTCTTTACTGATGTACCAATAAATTATTGTTTTGTACCACAATATCATCTCTGTTCTGGACTTCCCCCTCTTATAATAAAGAAAAGACCCTGGTGTTATCCCAGTAGTTAGAAATAAAACAGCTCTGCCCCCCCCCCACTTGGTGTCACACTTCCATCCCGGTTTTCCTATTCTCCTTGGTCCTCTTGCAAATTTATAGCAGCTAAAGAACTACATAGGTATAAATTGGTAGTTATAATCATTTTGGTACCTCTCGTCTGTCAGTTACTTAATTGATACTACTGCAGTTGTGGCTGCCCAATAGAGGGCAATGTGGCGTCTCCTCATCAAAAAAAAAAAAGATAATATTAAATGATAAGAAATGTAAAAATTTTTTTTGTTTTTTTTAGATTTAGAATGAACCCAGTACTATTTGTAAAATGAATGCTTTTCCTGCACGGTCCTGCGTGGTCACGTCCTGTGTCTCAAGATTAGAAGGCGGATCTAAGAAGCATTTCAGCCAACTGCTCATTAATGAAAAACATGTGTGACATACAATTTAGCCAATCAGCGTCCTTAAGTAGACTCAGCCTGGGGCAACATTGGTTTTGCGCAAAGCTTGCGTGTTCTCGTCAAGGCCGGTATCGGTGGGCGGATGACATTCTGGAGGGAGTAAAGAGCAGACGAAATTACATACATATACAACCCATATTACTGAGTATTATTTGATATTAATTGCCTGTGATGGTGACAAAAAATTATTATTACTGCTTTTTCTATGTTGGAATATATATGAAATATTTAACTGTAAAGTCATGTGTTTTTGATATAATTGTTTTACATTAAATCAGCCTGGAATGTTTGCTTAAATCGATGGATTGCCCGACCTAGAACATTTTCCACCAGCCGCCTCTTCTTATTTGTCTCATCAACCACGTAAAGCAGCCACGCCTGCATTCGTGCGTAAAGAGGTGAAGACTGCACACCAACTGCACGAGCCAAGGGAGGCTCACATGGTGGAACTGCCCGTAGGCTGGTTCGGGCAGCAACCTTGGACACAATATCACTTGGATTCAAGTGCAGTGGGTGGAGTCTATCGATGCATTTAGTGGGTGCGTGAGAAAGCGTTGCCTTTATATGACGAAGCCATGCGTAATAAAAAGTGGGACAGACGGCGGTGAGGAGGATGCTGGAGCACGACGCAGGGGCGGACATGCGACTTGTCCGTCGGATGAGCGCAGGTATGACAGTCCAGGTCCCGGGAGAGCACGTGGGCTGCAGCAAGATCGGTGAAAACCCCGAGAACCAGATCATCTGTCTGCAATGTCAAGAGGAGGTTATGCGGATCTGTCCCGGAAGCCCACGCAGTCCGCACCGCGCTATCGCGACCCGCCTGTCCTCCGGATCCGCAGGTACGCTGCAAATGGGGCCAGTAAATCGGGCATCACTTGTTTGATCATTCTGATTTCACTGTGGAGCATCGGTGGACATGAGGGTTTGGCGCTCCAACACGATCACAAATAACCGCTTGGTCACTATTTTTATATAAAGACTCATAAATCGAGCATTGCCCTCTACGTTTTAAATTAAGCCAAAAAGATGAACATGTCTGTTAAAGCAGTTGCTTTTAAAATGGGTTTATGTACAATCAGCATCATTAGCAAAAATGAAAAAAGTGTTTTAATGTTTTTTTTAATCATCAGTCATGTTAGTTTTCCTGATGGAATTTGAACTAAATACGGAATTTACAATAACAACCGCTACCTTGAAAGTTTCAAAGTCTTTGTTTAGGAACCACATTTTATTACAGTGCATCCGGAAAGTATTCACAGCGCTTCACTTTTTCCACATTTTGTTATGTTACAGCCTTATTCCAAAATGGATTAAATTCATTATTTTCCTCAACATTCTACACACAGCAACCCATAATGACGAAGTGACATGACACAGATGATCAATGTGTTCATGGTGAACACATTTAGAATGTTTTAGAGGATATGGTTTCTTATCAACCACTACAAAGTCTTATCAATCAAATTGTAAATGAAATGCATTTGTATTCAAAGCTTGAATGATGTTAAATAAATTCTAAATTCCATCTTATTCTAAATGATGCACGGCACTCGAAGCTGCTCAGAGGCTGATATGGTTTGTCCAATTCCATGCAACGACTTCCCATAATTTCGGTGGTAAATGATTCCTTTGAGTTTATCTTCCTGTCAGTGACCAATGTCTACGCTGTGCTATAGATGTTCTTGTTTGTTATGGCTGTAAGTGTTAGATTAGAGAATATAGGTTGTTTTTATTTCATGCAAAAAATTAGGCAGCACCTCGAAGCAGTGAGTCCAGTGCCATAGAAAGTTGTTTGGTCTGCTGAAACAGATTCATCATCCAACTTCTAGTCTCCTTGATTTCTTCTCCTTGAAGTTCCAAATTTGACCTTTAGTTACCCAGAATCTTTTTTTTTTTTTTTTTTTTTTTTTTCTGTACACATTCATTGGAGAAGAGATGGATGCAAAATTATTTCAAACTATGGTGGTCACTTGTGCTAAAAAACAAGGCTAAATGGGATGCTGTGTTTTGCACTGTATGTTCCTTTTGGATGGATGAGTACCTGATGCTGCACTGTCCATTACGTGTGATCTCCACCTCTGTCGTAGACCGGGATCCCAGCAGTAGCAGCTACAATGCCTCTTCTGGAACCTTCTACAGCTGTGTCAGTCAGATCACCATTGGTAAGTGCATTATTTGCCAATATAAAATCGCTCTATAAAGTAACTTTGAACACAACCAAGTGAGAAACACTCTCCATCCCTTAAGGTATTGTTATAAAAAATGTTGTTTTCTGTTGGCTGCCACAGTCGTGAACCAAGCAGGGAAAGCCTGGCTATCGAGGAAATCTCCACAATTCATACATTGGTTAAATATTATTGTTAGTATTCAAAGTCATACAGTAACCTAATAAACTACAACGTAAATGTTTGACTTAAATCAGAAAAATAGAATGTGGTGAAAGCAAAATCACAATTAAAAAGGAAGAATATTAAGAACAATTCTGTATCTAGCTCCGGTTTAAGGTCCTGTTGATGTTCATGTTTACTGGGACCCTTGAACAGTGTTATCAGTCAAACCTGTGCTTTTCCTACCATGACTACATCAAACATGTCAGCTGTTACGTTATGAGAAAACAATAAATCAAATTACCAAGAGCACCACCCACCATGACAATTTCCTTGTATGTTCAACATGCTTGGCAAATAAATGCTTCTGATTTTGAAGAAATAATGATTTGGTAAATGACCATGTAAACCTGGGTTGGTGATGTGTTAGAGTAATATTTTAGATAACTTACTGCATCACAGCATAGTGCTGTATGAATTAAAAATTGACTGACAGTGTGCCATGGGGTAGGGGATTCAATAAACAACAGAAACATTAAAAAAATGGCGCCTGACAAAACTTTGTTGGTATGTCCATGGCGCAGACAAATCGTGTGTTGTTGACAGAGCCGTCTGAAATAAGTTTTCTTTCTGTCAGAAAAAACTGCCACCCCTTCATTTTAGGAACATTCAGACCTTGGCTTTTGACATTTTCTCGTTGAATATGACATTGTGCTTAGTGGCGGAGGCTGTAAGCCGGTTGCTGTGACAGTTAAGCATTTGGGTCCAGCTGAGGCTCTGCTGCTGCATGCAAGTGTCCCCCTCCTCTCTTTGTGCTAAAACTAATGAATTGCTGAAGTAGAAGTAGAATTTGGGGCAACTGTGTCTGACCTTTTTTGTTGCGTTACCACAACAGAAAATCCAGCAATCATGCTGACTTAATGAAACTCTCTTTATTATTACAGCAATTGCCGCTTTCACCGTCGGAGTGTATCCCTCCTCTTTTTCTGTGACGGGAACTGACTTTGATTGCTGCTTATTACATTTCTCATTGGTTGATCCAAATGCACAGCACGATGCACCAACCGGATATCAAAATATAGCCTGATCGGGATCAATGACAATGGTTGCCAATAGTTATTAGGACAGGCTAGATTTAAATACCAGTTTAAGTTTTGACTTAGTTTTTAAGTTGTTTTTTTTATGCAGCATTGAAAATGTACGTCCTGATCATTTTAAAGATTTTCTTTTTTTTTACCAAGCTGATGGTGTACTGTTCTGATAATAGATACCAATTGAACCCTTTTATATCTCTATTTGCTACATTTGAAGCAATGTGTAGATTATGCATAATGCTGCCTTACACACAAAATAATGATCCCAGTCCCGTCACAAATAGGTACTTGGTTTGCCAAGTTGGTTTGCCATTGGGTGACGGATCAAAACTGGTGTCGGTAATGGTGCATTGCTATTCATTGCACAACACACTTGCGCTTACACATTTTACAGTCACCAGAAAATGTGAACTGTGAGTTTGATATACTGTGAATGTTTTGGTGCTTATTTAAAAAAAGGAAGTCATCCTTGTGGACGTTTGTGCTCTCCATCTTGTATAGATGGGATAGATTTTCCTATGAAACGTAAAAAAATACATTGATTTAAAATTTGAATGAAGCTTTGAAGCTCTTTGGTTGAGCCCTATCTATTACCATTAATGCTAATGTGTTGCTGTGCCGTTTACATCAAAAGGATACCAAAAAATAGTACTTTTATCCACTGGCTATTTAATGCCACTACATCTACTGCATCATCGAACACATTCAAGTTTTACAAAGACACTCAGACATGGTGGAAACATTAAATATTCTAGATTTATTTTCCCAACACAGCAGCCCTGCATCCACCTAAATAACTTCTTTGTACTTATTGTAGGCACTCGGCTGAAACTTGCATAGTGCAGCATGTGGCCCAGATCCCTGCACCTGCATTTGTTGTCTTACCTCTGAGTGTGTCAGGAATTAGAAGTGGTACCTATTTGGGCCTTGCTCTCCTCAGAGAGCCAGGCTGGCACTTTTTTTCTGATGACTGTGACATAGATATTGCTTAGAATACACTTTGTCCGCTGCACGCACTGAGTTTTAGAGGTCGTTTGGATATATACCAGGTGTAGATTACCTACCCCACCCCTCCTGTCATTTCAGGTGACTTTCATGGAAAGTTAAGGACTGTTGGCTCCATGCAGTTCTTAATGTTTTTTCAAATTGTGTTTCAACATACCGTGACCAAATTTATCTAAAACTCATTTATTTTTAGTTGCAGAATCACTCAGTTGACAATTGGCTAACCTTTTCTTAAAGTAAAAAATCTGCCAGCCTTGCAAGTGTTCAATATCAAGCGATCTTATAACTTTATGAACTGTAAGATCACAATTTATTTCTGAGGAAATTTACAGTCTGGCTTGATTGAATTGAAATACGCCGAAAACATTCTTTCTGTGCGTGCAATAAACTCCTTTTAAACCAAAATAATTCTAATAGATTTCTTTTTTACATTTTTATTCTATTTTCTTCCCACTGGTTTAAAGTGGGAAAGGCTTGGGAAGTCACGTATTTCCAGCGACATTTGTTTTAAAATGTGAGACGAATAGACAGAAAACACTGCCACAAAATGCAACCAATGGCTGAAATGCTAGCCAAGTGCTCATACTACTTATACCACTACAACTACTACTTGGAAGGAAAAAAGCATCAGCATAGGTATATATCATCGTCCAAGCAAGTCTCCGGGCTTATTTAGTTTTAAAAAAATGCCTGTCCTCGTGGATATTCATTTCATTTCATTTCACAGATGTTTTGACCCTATTGTCCTTCTTTAGCCTGGGCAGTATGGAGTAGTTCCTGAATTGAGAATTTCAAATATTTAAAATACAGCTTCATTTACTGTGCTGCTTTTTGTTTAGAACTTTTCTCGCACCGTCAACATCCTCTAATCATTTTAGGAGACAATTTCCCCTCATGGACATGGACAAAGAACTTGATTACAAATGCTTTTCAGGGGCTGATATGGGAAGTGTAGAGTACATTTAACTCCGACTCCTGCTGAAAGTGCTGTGTGAGGAGCCAGCAGGGAGGCTAAGCGGCTGCCAGACCTTCCACAACTCTGCTATTGATCAGGCGGTTTGTTCATTGCTGATGTTCCTTCAAAATCTGCTGGGCTTTGTGTTTCACAGGAAACGTGTGTGTGTGTGTGTGGGGGGGGGTGGGGGTTATTAAGTTCTGCAGTTCTAATTGCCCCAGCCCGATGTGTTACATAACCACAGTGTGGTCTGTATCTTCAGGTAATGAATACCCAGAAATGAAACATAAAAGCAAAATACAATCGACAATCTCCGCGGGGCTCTCAAGCCCCCTCCGTCCTCCCTTCTCCTCCTCCGCTTAGTGCTCGTGCAGTGCTGAGCGCCAAACGGCTGCAGCATCAGACCCATAGATATATATATATATATATATATATAATATAAAGGCTAGATGTCTTACGGCGGAGTATAGAACGTCCGCACATGGCGGCCATCTTAGTACAGTCAGCTCGCTCACCCATAACATTGTGTTGGTAGTGGTATATGTACTTTTTAAATAATAATAACTTGCTCAATTTTTGGTTTGTTATAAACGTTGATGTAGTTATGACACTGCATACTTATGAATAATGTTCTGTTTAATATCATTTTCATATGATAACCCAGGGTCATAACTATTATTCAAGTATCCAGTGTCATAAATACATCTCTGTGCAGGGTGGGGATTTCAACATGCATCATTTCTTGATGTATATTTGTAAAGGGAAATCTTTTTGGCTTGATAAATTAATCACAATATTAGCGCCAGACGTTTTGTCATATTTAATGAAGTGAGATACAGACAGACAGTTTTACTGTTCTACAAATTAGACAAGTTTACTCGTTTTGTTCAATTTAATTCAATTATTGAGATGAAAGGTACAGTGCATCCGGAAAGTATTCACAGCGCTTCACTTTTTCCACATTCCGAGACAGAATTGTATCGAGGCATAGATCTGGCGAAGGGTACAGAAAGATTTCTGCAGCACTGAAAGTCCCAATGAGCACAGTGGCCTCCATCATCCTGAAATGGAAGAAGTTTGGAACCACCGGATGCCACTGTATATGTCTTAAGTTGAGCTACATGGCAGTCTGGTGAGGTATATTGTGGTATATTATTATTATAACTCGAAACAACAGTTCTCAGAAAGTGACCCTTCTTCGTTTTGGCGAGGCCTCAAACACCTCACAAACTACAAGCCAAAAACCCCCCACTCCATGAATGACCTCGGCCTGGCAGACGATCTGAATGAGTTCTACTGCAGTTTCGATAGACAATGTCCTGATCCCATCTCCCACAGCTCCACCAACCTGCCCCAGCCCATCAGGGCTCATGCCTCTGTATCAACTTCCCCTCCCCCACCAGCAACGACCCTGTCTATTCTGGAGAGAGACGTTAACCGGCTCTTTAAAAGTCAAAACCCCCATAAGGCAGCCGGCCCGGACTCCGTCTCCCCTCACACTCGGAAACATTGTGCTGACCAGCTCTCTCCGGTGTTCACTTACATCTTCAACACCTCCCTGGAGACATGCCATGTACCAGCCTGCTTCAAGGCCTCCACCATCATCCCTTTCCCAAGAAGCCCAGGATCACAGGACTCAATGACTACAGGCCCGTCGCCCTGACCTCTGTAGTCATGAAGTCTTTTGAACGGTTAGTCCTGTCCCACCTGAACACCCTCAGTGACCCCCTCCTGGACCCCCTGCAGTTCGCCTACAGAGCCAACAGGTCTATGGACGATGCTGTCAACATGGCCCTCCACTACATCCTCCAGCATCTGGACTCCCCAGGAACCTACGCCAGGATCCGGTTTGTGGACTTCAGCTCTGCTGACTCTGCTGACTGCTCACCATCATTCCGCCAGCTGCACGTGCCGGACTCCACCTGCGAGTGGATCACAGACTTCCTCTCCGATAGGAAGCAGCATGTGAAGCTGGGGAAACATGTCTCAGCCTCCCGAACCATCAGCACCGGTTCCCCCCAAGGCTGTGTTCTTTCCCCTCTGCTCTTCTCCCCGTACACCAACAGCTGCACCTCCAGTCACCAGTCCGTCAAGCACCTGAAGTTTGCGGACGAGACCACCCTCATTGGACTGATCTCTAGTGGGGATGAGTCCGCCTACAGGTGGGAGTCTGACCATCTGGTGTCGTGGTGCAGCCAGAACAACCTGGAGCTCAACGCTCTAAAGACAGTGGAGATGGTTGTGGATTTGTGGAGGAACAGAGTCCCACCTTCCCCCATCACCCCGTGCGACTCTCCTGTCACTATTGTGGATTCCTTCCGTTTCCTGGGCTCCATCATCACCCAGGACCTCAAGTGGGAGCTGAACATCAGCTCCATCACCAAGAGGGCTCAGCAGACGTTCTTCCTGAGGCAGCTGAAGAAATTCAACCTGATGATGGTCCACTTTTACACGGCCATCGAGTCCATCCTCTGCTCCTCCATCACCGTCTGGTACGCTGCAGCCACAGCCAAGGACAAGGGCAGGCTGCAGCGTGTCATCCGCTCTGCAGAGAGGGTGATCGGCTGCAATCTGCCGTCCCTACAGGACTTTTTCACTTCTAGGACCCTGAAGCGAGCCAAAAAGATCGTAGTCGACCCCCCTCACCCCAGACAAAACCTGTTTGTGCCCCTTCCATCTGGCAGGAGGCTGAGGTCCATTAGGACTAAGACCTCCCGCCACACGAACAGTTTCTTCCCGTCGGCAGTCGGGCTCATCAACAGAGCCCGGTCCCCCACTGACTCTGACAATCCACCGGTCACTTTCTTCCATTCTGCACACGTCACTTTCCCTTGTCACTTTTCACTCGTCAATTTTGTCACTTCCTGTTTGCGAGTGCACTTTAAAGTAAAAAATATTTAAAAATTTAAAAATAACTTTATTCTTTTATTTTAAACTAACCCATAGCCTTATTCTACTAAACCATAGCATTAACATGTTATTTTATTTTATTACTCGTGCACTGCTGTCTTGTTGTCTATTGTCATCCTGTCTACTGTCACGCACCAACCGCCAAGTCAAATTCCTTGTATGTATGACATATTTTTCTTTTCTGTCAGAAAACAGTAAAAAAAAATGTGCGTGTTGTCAGCTTTATAGAGATTATGTAAATCACTCTTATTATTATTATTGATTTATCTCATTTACAAAATTTGCAGCATAATGCCAAGAAAAGAGACAGTCCAAACGCAGAAGGACAAGGAATACATCCTACTATGTTGTTAATGTATTTATTTTATTATTAGTATTTTTAATTTCATGAATAAGTTTAGTGATGGGAGCCATTTTGTTTTCAGCCCCGCAGATGAACATGTCATGGCAGGATGCCGCGTAATTAACAAACACTACCTGTATTCAAATCAATGTAATTAACTCTCTGACGAGCAAACTCACAAGAACCAGTCACATTTATATCATATACTTTAATACTTTAACTGCAAAGTCTACCTAGAGGACCTCAGGCCTCTCTTCCATAGAGACCCAAAAGGCTGCATCTGATTGGATAAACGCCCTCTTTAAAACAAGCTGCACTGGAAGCAGAGCAACAGAGGGAGACAGGAGCTGGACCCCGTTCTTTGTATGTGGCTAACTGAGTTTGCCGGATCATTTTCAGCATAAGTTTAAATCGGTCAGGCTTTTCGGTTTCACGAATTAAGTTTGCCTGAATCACCATAGCAACACATCAAAAAACTTAATCAGGTGGATAAGCTTGCCACACCCCCGAGAAAGGGCAGCTCTCTTCCTCGTTATAAGTTGGATTCACATTTTATCGGTAGAGAGTTCTCACCAAGATCACCAAGATCCGTTATCACATTATGATGACTTCATGTAAGAGCGCTACGTTGCTGCCAACAAATCCTAGTTCTAAGGTAACCCACACATGTATCTATAGATATGATACATAATTGCATACAGTTCATATATCCTCATAATTATCTATTCATTTGTATCAATTAGATACTCTTTGGGCCTGTTTTGAACTACTTATTCTGAAAGTTGAGATAAGGTTAATTATTTTCGCCAGCCAGATCTCTTTTGATGATGCATTCCATCAGGCTGACTGACAGCAGGCATATTTAAAGAAATGTAATCTGGTTGATGAGGCACTTAAAATGAGCCTATACATTTTCCCAACACAATTAACTTTTTTTTGATACTTTGCCAGGCTTTTAGCCTTCGCAGCGGTGGCAGTGTTAGTTTTTACCATGATTATTCAATTACATTTTTTTTTCCTCAATCCAAATTGCAATTTTTTAAATTTTGATTCAAACATACATATTATGGTCTTGAACTCCTCATATGCATTCATGATAATTTCCTGCTCGTCCGGAGATAAAAAGAGGCTTTTCCTTCGAGTTCATTTGCCGTTGCACTGTTGGAAAATCATATTTTTAGTGATCAACTTTGTAGTAGCTCGCGCATGTGAGATTATCCTGATAACTGACGTCTAGATTGGAATTAACGAGTTTGTTTAAGAGCGGATCAGCCGCCTGAAATCATCTCGTTAATTTGAGCTGTAGTGTATTTATAGTGTATTTATGGCGGCAGCTCCCTTCACTAGAGGACCGTATTGCTAATGAGGTTACAATGATATTTTGAAATGTTATGGATCCAGCAGTTTTTACAAAAAGGCTTCAGTGTCAATGCTAGGTGCAACAAAACAAAATTCTCTTATGATCATGTGTGACAGAGAAAAGGTCATTCAATGTCATCCTTCATTCTGGCCCTTGTAAAAATAGTTTTATAGTTGGAAGTTTGAGTGTATGTGGTGCATGATAAACATTCAAGTAAGAGTTTAATATATGTTTCTCTTAACCTTGCTTTCGTCTGATCGCTCTCCCTCGGCAGGGTTTGACCCCGGGGGCCAAGTGGCCATCGGCTTCTCCCACTGGAAGAGCCCCTCCCCATCGGGTGGCCAGAATCTCCCCAGTCCGGACTGTGTTCACTCCGAGGTTTCCGCTGTGCCGGTCATCAGCGATCACCTGGAGCCGGTGTCCTGCCCGGCGTCTCTGTCAATTACCCCACTTCCCACCTGCAGTGCCAGTCAGGAGACTCTCTGTGACAGCAGCACCAGTACGTAGAGTGTGGTACAGTGCATGTTTTTAACTACCAGTCAGTAGTTTACCAGAGCAGGAGATAAAAGAGCCCTTCACAGAGACAATATTCGTTATACATAGGGGTTTGAAGAGGCTTGGGGTTATATACAGTATACACATGGTATATAGCAATCAACTGGCTCAGTTGATTGCAATAACACAAAAAGATGAGGGTCGAAAAATATTGTGATTTTGGGCTGTACAAAATAAAAGTGAATTGAATCTATGGCCCAGGTCATGCCTGTATTTTATCAATTGCGGGCACAGTTTCCAAGAACAAAAGTAGAAAACCAGATTTGTCCGCCCTGTTGACATATTTACAAATGATTCTTCTGGCTGTGGTTGTTTCTGCTGTTCCAACCCAGTCTCACAGCAAAACGTGATAGTCACGTGACCTGGTTGCAAACGAAACGTTGTATTGTCACGCTTTCTCCCCAAAAGCGTGAGAATACCACGTTCCACAATGTAGCTATTACACGTTTTGCTGTGAGACTGTTGGCTGTTCGGCTGTGGCTGCCAAGAAGATTCATTTTTTGCAAAACAAAGTTTGGGCTTAATTTTCCAAAAATGTGGATAATTGGAGATTATTGAGACACCACCTCAACAAAAGGCATCTGGACTGGTACTCAGTAGCAGAGCATGGTTGTCTTTCAGAGGATCTGCGGTTTGATCCCAACTCCGCTTGCCCTGAAGCCTTCACCTGTCCTTTTCCAACGTGTTTTAATGTGTTATGAGAGCTTAATCGTAGCCCCGATCCTCAGTGTATGAATGGATAATGATCACATGCAGTGTTAAAGCGCTTTGAATGCTAAGAAGAATAGAAAATTGCCAATCAAATCACTGGGAATTTACTTTATTTGTGCACGTACTGAAGCTAAATATGATGTAGCTTCAGTATGTCCACATACTCCATTGCCTTGCATTACCAAAGGAGGATCAATCACAGTGACCAATAACCAAAAACTTGTGTTTTAGAAGAATCGTTTATTACACACTTAATTATGTGGGTGCCCTTCAGTATCTGTCAAATACCATTGACAGACCCTTTTTTTCTGATTGGACGCTGACAGAGCAGGGTAACCTTTGATTGGCTGCCCGGGAAAAACGATGAACAGCCTGCACCTCCTCTCTCTCTCTCTCTATCTCTGTGTGTGTGTGTGTGTGTGTGTGTGTGTGTGTGTGTGTGTGTGTGTGTGTGTGTGTGTGTGTGTGTGTGTGTGTGTGTGTGTGTGTGTGTGTGTGTGTGTGTGTGTGTAAACATCCTGCTCATGGTTGTGGGTTTTCTTTCTCTCCAGAAAAGAGCTTCTGGAGGGAGCATCTGCATTGTGACGACACATCCGCGTGGGTGTGTGTGTGTGTGTGTGTAGGGATGTCGGATCGACGGATGCGTCGATGAGGAGTAAGAAGTGGGGATGCTGGTTTCCTCCCCATGGAACGGCTGTTTGTTTGTTTTCCATAGTGAGGTCAATTGCGTGGTTGGGTTGGGGGCGGGACGGGAAGGTGGGGTGACCGTTGTGTGTGCGTGTGCATGCCTGTGTGTGGATAAAATCCTCTGGCTGCTTTTGCGTCTGCTGCGGCTGTGGTGGGAAGGCACCCCTTCCCCCCTCCTCTCCCTCTCCCTATCCTCTCTTCCCCCAGGAGGGGTGAACCGCCTGTCTACCTCTCTCCACCTTCACATGGTGAGTGTCGTCAAGCTGCTTTCAAGCAAAGGCAACTTGTTCACCAGAATGGATGGTTTTTTTGCTGCAGTGCTCTTTCATGTGTTGCTGCTCATAGTTACCTTGACGCTACTTCATCTCCTTTGCGCACATTTCCTTTTGACCATGCAAGTATTTGACCTTCACTTACTCACACACTAATTTCCTCTCCAAGCTGTCCCCTTTTATTTTAATTGCCAATGTCTTTTTCACTCATTTTCCATGCGGCATCAGTTGGAAGACACAGCAATTGGTCGTGGCTCAGTTAGATGTGTGTGTGTGTGTGTGTGTGTGTGTGTGTGTGTGTGTGTGTGTGTGTGTGTGTGTGTGTGTGTGCGCGTACGTGTGTGCCGCAACGTAAAATCTCCAGAGTGCCGTCAGGGAGATCATGCACACATCCTTCCGTCCACCCTAAGCCATCCAGGTGGAACGAAGGATACGTCCTCAGAGGGGCTGACACTTCCTGATCTCCTCTGGAACCCCCCCAAGCTCCCATTTGTTCCCGTATTTTATATATATTCTCCCCTGAGTGTCAGCTGTATTATGCAACAAACTCACAAACTGAAAAGGAAAAATATTACAATGAATGGGGCTTTAATATATGTGGAAAGATATGACAAAATGTATTTTAAAACTAGTATCACACTGTAAATAGGGTCCTCGTGAGATTTGTTTATTTAGTTTCTTTATAAAATCCATAGTCAAAAGAATGGTTCAAGTCTGTTGATAAGTATACCAGAAAGTGAAATGTAACATTATGAAATGCTGATTAAATATGTATCTGGCACAAAAAATAATAGGCTACTTACATCTACACACATTCCTTTCCATCAACTACTTGCTACAATTACTACTTGATTCCAAACTATTAATTAACTTTTAATTTAATTTAAATTATTCATATAGTATTGATACTATGCCTAAAAGTATATTTTTGGATGATAAGGGGAGTCATATTTTATCTTGCAATGGTCATAATCAATGTTCTCAAAAATGATCAAAGGTCTGCAATTTAAAAAAAATCTAAGATCGGGACCTTCGGGATTCAGAACTGAAAATCCTATTTACCCAAATCTAACATTTCTTTAGCCACCCTATTGTTAGCTATTGGTTGGCCTCTAAGTTATTCATATTCCCTAGATTTGTTGTCTTAAGAAGGAGAGTAAATGGAGAAACTGACCTGATGTAAAATATATCGAATACTGTAGCTTAATAAATTGAGATCTTGCCTGGTCTGACCACTGCAGCTCCTGTTTGGACAGCTAAACCCCAGTGCAGCGCACGGTTTACCAGCACCGAGTAGAGCAGGAAACTAAGTAGTGATTCCTCCCCTGGTACGTGTTTCTATCCACTCCATTCATCGGCTCCAGTGTTCCAAAGCATCAGTGCCTGATTAAGGGCCGAGACGCCTCCCCAACCTTTATCTCTGTCCTCGGTTCACTACGGCTCAGCAGAAAGATGCAGCTGAGTCAACGGCGTTTTGCAAATGAAAATCCAGCGCACAGTTCTCCAAGACAGCTACCCACCTGTACTGAAGTCTTGCAACTCTCAAGAGAAAGGAGAGTGGCAAATATAGACAAATCAAGGCTGATGATTTAAGCAGTTTTGCTAAGCTTTGAATAATCCCCCAAAAGGACACAGCCTACTTTTACGTCTAATTAGCTTGAGTGTGTCTTTTCAAGGAATTTCAAGGTTAATCCTTAAAAAGTTATTTTATTCTCCAACTTTTGTGGGTATTCCCGCTTTGACTTTTACAAACATTTTTATTCCCACAGTCTTCCTGCTGCTTCTGTTTTCATTGAAACTTTTCTAATTTGGCCTTAACGACAACAGCAAGAACTCAGCAAAAATCTTTTGCGGTAGTGTGATTGTTTTTCTAACCTGTTTTTGAGGAACTTATTTTACTGCCAATATAGACTTTCCCACTGACTGGCTGGCTTTATTGGTTAAGTAGACATGTAACAAAGACCAATCATCAATGACTGAAGCAATAACTAAATATGTGCATCTGAACGTTTGTCTTAACAACATTTTTCAATGAACCATTGGTTAAATAACAGTGTGCAAAGCCGAAGATATCAGAAGCATAAAGACGATGAATACTAATGTCGCTCTCTATCTACTCAGTGTGTAAGAAAGCAAGCGCTCTAAGATGAAAAACCATTAAAGAAACTAGGAGTCGAGGTTGTAAGCTGGAGACGCAGCAAGTTCGCCTTGACCACTAAACCAAATCAGGTCAGCTACTATTTTCAATGTGTAATGTGTAATCTTTTCCCCCAATGTTTTCCTCAGGGAAAGACGATTTATTGCATGACTTACTGCGATTAATTGCATTGTAATGCCCAATATTGCAGTGACTTAGTCTATGGAGAATGTTTGTACTGAATTTCCTTTGGAGAATCTCAGTCAAAAAAAAAGAGAAAAAACACTGCTTGATGGCGGTTATTAATAACTGTGGTCCTATCAACTCGCCGGCTGACAGGGATTCAAAATAAAAATGTCCACTTAAGAGGTTGCTACCCAAATAACATTTAAAAAACTGCTTTAATGCCTGCTTTAAAGAGCTTCCATAATCTATTTAACACAAAAATACCCCCCCCCCCCCAGGGGCATAAAAATGCATTCATTCAGGTTTAACTTTCTAACTGTCATTTGACTGGTGAAACCAAAAAAATCTATCACACATGTCTTTGTGAAAGTGATCCCTGTGCTTTACTTTGGTTTGGTCCTAAATTGTCAAACTGACATTTTAAGCTACTTAAAGAACATACTAGAATAACTACAGTATAGTTATAAGCACGGGTCTTGTAGGAACAGAGACACTGGCAGGCGGTTTGTGGGTGAAAGGAGTTTGAAAGCACATTTCACTGCTAAATCACACTGCACTTAGACAATGAAATGACCAGGACATATCAGTGAGCATCAACAACTCACTGTGAGCTCTTTGTACAAATTCTTGTTACAAAATCTTAACTGGAGAGATGGATCACACGAACAACAAGTACAACCAGAGACATTCCAGTTCGTAAAACCTCAAAATATAGAAGAAAATCTTTTGCAGGTGTGAGTTTTTCTCTACATGGGTCAGAGTCCCATCAGAAGAGCCCCCACCGCCGGAGAGTCCTGCAGCAGCCCCCCGCCTCACACTACCCGGCAGCGGACAGACGTCCCCCCTTCCCCTCCTGTGGGGAGGCAGGCATCATGGAGGAGTGCTCGCTCAAAGCCGAGGACTCCAGCACTCAAGACGATGTGCCCCCCCTCGGTGAGACCAGTACCAACACCCCTGTGTGCCAAATGCCATAAAATAACATGTCGCACACTATCTGAAATCACGTCCAATACTTTTTGGTGCTCATTTTACATATAAATGGTCCCTTAGAGACTCATCAACCCAACCTGCTGTTAACTCAAAGAGAGAGAGAGAGAGAGAGAGAGAGAAAGAGAGAGGGGGAAAGCATAGCTTTTGTTTGTTTATATTTCCTGCATCTTCACTACTTGTTGAATAGCAGGTGAACAAAGTGGAGCACCAAGCAGCCAAAATATGTTTTCCTGTGAAGTCGTTCGAGTCCAACAAAGGGTTGAAGGGAAGGAGAACATTTGACTGGTGGCCAGAAACATGACTCTCCCTGTCTGATAGGTATTAATATACCCACCCAGCAGCTAATTATTTTTTACACTGCTTGTCTATTGTCCAGTTGTGAAGGATGTCAAAGTGCTGCTAGACAGAGAAAGGTCGGAGGGCGTCAGCAGCCCGTCTAGAGACGATGACTCCACATTGCTCAACCAGGGAACCAACAGCAGCATCCTCGACGACAACACAAAGCCGGACTCTGGCGTCCGGGAGGTCAGTGGTGAAACTAGATGAGGTCATTGCTCCTGTCCATCCGTAATGGATGATGAATTAGAAGTAATTTAAAACAAGGAAGTAGACTTTTCCTCTTAATGGCTTGATACTCATTTTGTCCTGTTTGTTCGTCTGTTAGGGGAGGAGTAAGTCCAGCGGCCTTTGCTTCAGAGATGGACGGAGTCGCATTGACTACATCCTGGTTTACAGGAAGTCCAACTCGCAGTCAGAAAAGAGGGATATATTTGAGAGGAACATCCGTGCGGAGGGCCTCCAGATGGAAAAGGAGGTAAAGGAACATTTACGCTTGCTGCTTCTTTAACTATGTTGACGTCAGTTGAGCTGCCTCCTCATGTCTCTCACACAAAGAGACAAGTTGTTTTTTTTCCCAAATGTAGCCCGAATCTAGTTACGTGACAGATGTGTTGTCATGAGTTGCCTATTGTCAGCAAACAACACTTGCATTTACTTGAAATTTTGGTTCTGGTCCCCTAAAGAATGTAGGTACAATATTCACTCTATTTTAAAAACAATTTCCCACCATCTCTGAGGTGAAAGACAGTGAAATGCATTGGAAAGCTTCTGAGATTGGTTTCTAAATGCTGAGTGCGTTCATCACTACAAGCAAACACCTTTCACATTGTAGTCATTTTGAAATTTCAAATATTACCAATTAATACAATACAAATGTTCAATTTAAGTTTATTTAATTGTTGGGGCACATCAGCTGGCCAGAAGATATGATAAGGGGGGTCTGCCTGAGGAGTGACCTTCCATAATCACATTGGCCCTCCATCTTAGTGTTAATGAAAATCTGCTTTTGCTGTTCACTAAACCTTTTATTTTCTTCTTTCAAGTTGCCAAGTAAAAATACCCTAATAAAACACAGAGCGTTGTAGATTCACGTTGGACAGATGATTGGATTTGCAGTGATTAACTCTTTGTGTGACGAGGCGATTTAATGCTCAGCCTATAAAGCATGTCACCTCAATGGCCAGACTTTTAAGATGCTTTGAGCCTTCGTGCTTGGTCATACAACATCTGACGAGAAAGTGCTGCCGCGGCCGATACAAATGTGCTGATGACCCTTTTGTCCTCGAGAGGCTTTAATCTGAACGAGTGGAACACGTGCCTGTTGAGGTATGTGTGTGTTTGTGTGCATCAACATCTGCAGTATCTGCCGACGCAGTAGCATCAAGGTCATAATTGTCTAGAACACGCCGGGTTAAACAACAATCCTTATGTCCCTCAATGTCGGCTCATGTCTGTTTTAATATTCCAGCAATGTAGAGAGATGATATTTTGAAGTCATCTCTATTTCAACACTCTATTTGTCTTTTCTTGGGTTTGGTTTCTCCTCAGGCCTCTTTGACAAACAGTGATGTGATTTTTCTGAAGCTTAATGCACCGTGGGATGTCCTTTGTCGCTATGCAGAGCTCATGAACATTCGCATGCCCTTCAGGTGAGACAACTAAGCCTCAGAATTGACTTTTAATGGAAGAACAAAAAAAAGGATTGAGGTAGACTGCAGAATTTTCTTGTAAACACATAAAAGTTATATTCACACTCGCCTTTGTTGCTGCACTACTGCGCTTCTTTGGTCCAGCTGTCAACCAGCAGCAGAGATGTATATTCCGTCACCCATGTGCATGTTCATGAAAACACTGCTCCATAGCGCTATTATTGGTTGAAGAATACCACTGGCTACATTTAATGTACTGTAATATATGTAGAGTATCGTTTTTGTTATTATTCACATTACTGAAAATGCACTATTTCCGGAGATAACTCTTCCCAACGTCCTGCATATTCCAGGAGGAAAATCTTTTTCATGCACCGACGGCACAAGTTCATGAGCAGGTGAGTGAGTTCAGTCAGAGGAGACAGCGTGAGATCGGCTAATTGCCGCTCTAACAGACAGCTTGGCTCGCAGGATGGAGAAGCGCATCAACAAGGTCCGCGGCTGGCTGCCCCGCAAGCCCATGAAGTTTGACAACGACGCTCTGCCCGACCTGGAGGAGAACGAGAGCTTTACCGCCCCCTTCAGTCGATCAAGGATACACCAGTGAGTTTTTGTTCAGCACCTTACGAAGTCGTCCTAGAGAAATGACTTGAACTTCATCCAACAGCGGTGCCTGGTACATTTTTTTTTATTGTCACACTTTCTTTTTACACTTTTGCCACTAAAGGTTTTCTCTGTTGCCGTTGGCATACTAGTTGACGTTGTACACACAAGCAAGAAGTATCATTCACAGCAGACTGATTTGTACTAACTGCTGCATTTCTCTGCAGTTTCATCATCCACAACAGAGACACTTTTTTCAGCAACGCCACCAGAAGTCGCATCATCCACCACATCCTCCAGCGGGTCAAATATGAAGAAGGTAAAAATAAGATGGGTGAGTTTTCCTTTGGGCACAATGAAAAATCCTAGAACTTTCTTAAATACGAGAAAAATGGTGATTTTGATCAACAAAGGTTTTAAAAATCAAAAAAAATACTGAGACACTGTGTTTGATCTTGTAAGGCATTACATTGTATTTCTGTTTCCCCCATCATTTATAGTTTTTGCAAATTTGGTTAATAATGTTTCTTTTTATCTTTCAGTTCAATAAAGTGCTCACTAACAATATGTGCATAGGCTGTCACTTTGAAAAATGTAATTAAAAATGAAGGCACAACTAATTATAAAATATTGAATTTGTTCAAAGGAATCCCTACGAAACCCAATAATCCTGAACTGGTTTGTTGAATTGACATGGTTTTATTCTCCATTTTCTCCAATACCTCACTTTAGAGACAGGTCAACGTTACTGTGAGGGACTGATATTCTACATAGTTTACAAAGCAAACATGTACCCAATTTTTACAATCTTTACTGCTCAAATTAAAATGGACAGTAACGTACAAATCAGACTCCTGTTTAATTTCTTTCCCTCTTCTCTGTTTTTGCTTCCAGGGCTTAATCGTCTTTTGAGCAATAGTTCATATGAGGCAGCTTTCCCTCTTCACGAGGTAAGTTGGCTCATCTCCTTAAAATCATTAATTGATGGCATTGTCACATTTTATGTCATCACTTTCTTGTAAGTGGGCATAGATTACATGTACCAATATCAGGGGAATGCATATAGATCACTCTGCACTTTAACAGGGGAGCTACCACAGCAAAAACTCCATCAGGACGCACGGAGCAGAAAACCACAGGCACCTGCTGTACGAATGTTGGGCCTGGTGGGGGGTTTGGTACAAGTACCAACCGCTGGACCTCATCAGGTAACGTTGAAGGGGTTTAAACGTCCCTGTCAATAACCAAAACATCATCACAAGTAGGTTTACATAATCTCCCAACAGTCCTTTATAGGTAGAATATGTTGTTTTTTACCACATTCAGCATCTTTATATGAATTCCTTTTTTTACATTATGAAAAACACCCTGGAACTCCTTCCTCTGGTGCTCCACTGTTCAGGAGGTATTTTGGGGAGAAGATCGGTCTGTACTTTGCCTGGCTCGGCTGGTACACAGGAATGCTGTTTCCCGCAGCTCTGGTCGGCCTTCTGGTATTCTTGTATGGCTTCTTTACTTTGGAGCACTGTCAGGTCAGGTAAACACACTTCCACTCTTTTCTGATAAGATCAAGTGTCTCCAAAAGTGGTAGTTGCAGTGTATTTGAAGAATTTAAATACATATTTTTAGAGTTTCTAAGGGAAAACAAGCTTTGGTTAATGGTGCAAATCTGATATTTATTTAGGGAGAAAGTCAGGTAACTTTGTTTTATGGAAAACCATTAGATGTTACCGATAAGGCAACAGAGCTCGAAATGGGCCCTTCTTATGTTTTGTATTGAATGCCTGTTAAACCAAAAAGGAAATTAAACTTATTCAGGATTCTTTATTAAAAGTAAATGCTTAAGATGTAAATTTTCTCAGACGTCTCTTTGAAAAACTTCCCAGATGGAAAGCAACACCTTTTACATTTCTGATAAAAACACTTTTTTCCAGAAATCTGAATGTTGAATCACTTTGGGGGTTTTACTGTGTCCACAAATGCTGGTGGAAACTGTGATACCAACGTAACTCGAGTTTGATAGGCTACATGTTATTCTCCAGTAAAGAAATCTGCCAGGCTACTGACATCATGTGCCCCATCTGTGACCAGTACTGCCCCTACCTGAGACTGTCAGACAGCTGCATCTACGCCAAGGTACCGTCCCCACAGCAACGGGACAAAACACTCGTAGCTGATGTTTTTCTTTGTTCCTTTACTTGTGTAAAATGCGTTTTGAGCCCATTGAGTTCATCAATATGAAACTTCTACTTTAAACGGATAAGCACAAAGTCAGCGAGGGACAACTCTGATGTGTTTGAAATGTAGGTCTGGGATTGAAGCACGACTGCATGAACATTAATTAAACATTAGAAGTTGATTTACCTACAAAATGATTCATACAGGGATTCACAGATGTCTCATTCCCACAAGTTTACAGGAAAAACATATTTCTGGGCCGTGTGACTTGACAATTATTTCAAGAAGTTGAAATTCAAAATTTTGGCAATTTTGTTAAATTTGCTTCCAAGCCCGGGACTTTTCTTGGGGGCTTGATGTATTGCAGTTGTCGAGGGATTATCTTAAGCTGACAAGGACACAACACGGTTATTTTAAAGTTATAATCTAATTAAACAAATAAATTAAATCATTATCAGTAATATCTATTTCAACTATCAGGCCTATCAACTATCAAATTCTTCTAACTGGACATTTTCTTATTCTTCACAGGTCACCCATCTTTTTGACAACGAAGGAACTATTTTCTTTGCTGTTTTTATGGCTGTTTGGGGTGAGTTGAACAGTAAACTAATACCAAAACATTCATTTGTGTATTGTATCAGTGATTTTGTCTGCTGTTTGGTGCTGGGCGGGTAGCTTAATACGGTGGCTTTATCAAACCTTTATCCCTGAAAACAGATTCCCTCTACTAATGGAAGTGACACTCGTGAGAGGCTGAACCAAAACATTAAAGTTACAGGTTGCAAAAAACATTAAACAACCAGCTGAAAGGCACTAAAACATGGCAAAGAATTAAAAGGATTTTTTGTTTTTTTTGCCGGTAGGATTAACACCTTCACATGTGACCCATTACTCAAATAAAGATATTGATTAGTGCGGCTTTAACTCGTTTTTTATTAAATTATTGAAATAATAACAACAATACATCACAGATCTGTAAAGAAAAAAGTATTATCGCTACATTTTAAAAGTGACATATGGTATTACATTGCATGTAAAATATACATTATTTCAAAAGGATGCAAATGCTGCATTCATCACGAAGGCATTTGGGTATCCACAAGAGGATTAGGAAGCTGTCAGCGCTGAACAAGGTCCCAGGGTATGGGAGGTGTGAGCAGAGAGTCCGTGATGGGCTCACACTCCCCTGCTGCTGCAAACCGGGCCGGTGATGAAGCAGCAGCATCAGCATCAGTGCATAGCAGATAACGGGCCTGTTTATACCTGTCTGTGTGGAGGCACGAGGTGTCTGAGGGACACAAAAGGGCAAGAAAACAATCACTCTGTTGAAGAATAAACAGATTCAGAAGGAAATTCTTCCAAAATAGATTTGAACCTCAACGAGGTGACTGTCAAGGCAATATTTAAACCGTGACAAGTGGTTACACACAATTTAAAATATGTACAGGAGTTTAAAGGTATTGGAGTGAAGAGCTCTAAATGAAAAGGGATTTGTTTAATTTATGTGACCCTCATACTACAGTATATTCCTATAAGCATGTTGGCACATACATACGCATTACAAAAAATAAATAAACAATTTTCCATGGAGAGATACTTTACTAAGATATGTAAGTAAACTGTTCCTTGCAATGTTACAGTACCAGCTGAAGAGCGGTGGGGTGTTGACTCCCAGCGGGTGACCTCTGGCTGAGTCAGGTTTTGGTTCTGAAGAAATCCCATCAGTCGGATCTAGAAGCACTGGAAACCAAGACCATTTTGTATTATTTAATACCAAGTGTACTATATATAAAAATCCCTCTGCCCTGATAGATTTCATTTCAATAAGTTATGGGCTAAGAGCAAATCCCTTTACTGAAGATTTCTTGTCCTGACAATGGCGATTTCGGTTTCGATGCCGGTTTCTGGTCTGCTTGTTGTGTGGAAAGAGACCTACACAACAAAAAGACCTAATGTTTACTTTGATTATATGATTCCCCCTCTTATCTAACTTTAACAACCTGCAATAAGTTACACACCTCTGAGCCACTTGCAAACGTGCTAACAAAAAAAATCACGCAGCAGATTTAAAGGGAAGGATAAAAGGATTTATATTTCAAAATAAGCGTTGAAAAGCATCATATAAGCAAAGGATACAACATCAAATCCCAAAAAATACTGAAGGTGTAAAAAAAACAAGTAATGATCTGTTAAAATATACACATACAATGTAGAGGAAAATATATACAAGACAACACACAAGGCACTCAAAATAAAAATCTAACTAAAAGCATGATTGTATGATATTAAAAATTTGTACACGGAATTCTATGAGGAGCAATTTAGAAAAAATAGCTGCATAGATACACTAGAGCCCAGTACAAAAAAGTATTGTTAGTATACTGACCTCAGAATAACTGCTTCTTGCCACTGCTGCTGTCCAAGTGAATATGATTTTAGGGTTTGACTGCAGGGGAATTTTGCTCAAATCCTTCATTAAGGTTCCTCAGAAGTGGACTCCCCTGCTGTCTCCACATGGGGAAGCGCTGCCCTTCCCAGACAGCTGCAGCCACACACTTAAAACACACCGCTCGGCGTTTCACGAAGGACACTATAGAGAAAATAAACTACGAGCTTTCAGCAGGCTCCAGTGTTCAGTGGCATGATGTATTTGTGTCCAATAAGTAAGCTATCCAAAGGACTTTGTTCAGCCGTACCTCGCCTCCATGCGAGGACACTGTGACTCTGTCTTGTTGAATAAAAGACTGCACCGACATCCTCAACCAAATGTATTTTATTCAAGATCCCCAGAAGACGGACTGGTTTATGTACATTATAAGTCTCGACAGAATGTTTCCCATGAAGCACTCGTGTTTATTTTTTAGTTTTTGAGAGAGTAAACTCCCCTTGCATGTTTTTTGGTTTTGTTGATGGAACCCACTCATGGTTTTGATATGTAGATAACATAATTTGCATAAAATGATCACATACTAATACCTAACACTTTTTCTTTTTCTTTTGGCATTTCGGTTAGCGACGGTCTTCCTGGAGTTCTGGAAAAGGCGCAGGGCGGTCCTCGCGTACGACTGGGACCTCATTGACTGGGAGGAAGAGGAGGTGAAGCACTCTTTTATATTTCTGCATTCGTCTTGAATCTGATCACAGATCAATTCATTTTTTATTCAGTTTCATTTTTGTAGTTACATTTTGCTAATGTGTTGTTGTTTTTTTACGAGAGCCTAAGACTTTTATTCTTACACAGGCAATATTTCTTACTACTGAAAAAATTATATATATCCTTGTTTGCAGGCATGTACCAAGGGAGTCTCAAACGAATGACATGACTCACTGAAAATGCTCCACTAAATAGCTGTCGTGGGCAATTTAGGTTTTGTCAGAACCTTTAGCAGGTTTGTAATGATTCTGCCTCTCCCATGGATTGTGGATTAGATTAGAAAAGATTTATTAATCCCCAGAGAGGAAATTTCTTTGCCACCAAAAACTCAAGACATGACAACACATAAATAAAACCAACCCTCTTCAAACTCAAACTGCTAAACGTGTTCCTTTGGAGCAAGGTTACTATCATTAACGAAAACTAACGAAAACGGAAAAAAAAATCACACCTTGTTAACTGAAATAAAAATAAAAACGAACCTTTATAAAAAAAAACGATAACTAACTGAAACTGTAATGTGTCTTTACAAAACTAACTAAAATAAAATAGAATTATAGAGAATGTCTTTATTATTATTATAAATGTCTTTAGTTTTCGTCTTTGTCAATGCTATAGAACAGAGGTTCCCAAACTGAATGCCGCGGCCCAATTTGAAATCTGAAAATCTTTCGCGGCCCACCCAAACCTTTAATCACAACTCTGATCAAAACATAATGATTAAATGACCTTAAGAATTTAACCAAAATCAAACATCCGCGAGCAAAAGTCCGTCTGGCGCGAGCAAAGGTTCGTCGCCGCGAGGTATTTGCTCGCTTGCGAAACGTGAACTTCGTTGCTCGCGAGGAGAATCTCTGCTCGCGCTCGAAGGAGTTTTCTACGCGCTCGCTGTTGTTCTTTTTGACAGTAAGGTGGAGATGGTGCTTTCAGGGTCCGATCGATGCCGTGAGGTGCGTCCGCTCCCGCCGCCCCCCTCGCCATCCACGCCTTAAATCTTCGGCTGCTTTTACAATAACTTATTTTCCTGTTAAGATGGTTCAGCTACTGTAGAGAAAAGGGCACCGTCTCTCTCTCTTTAATCTCATGAAGTGCTCGGCAAGAAGAACAGCTTTGTTTCTCCGACGCGCCCTGAAACAAGCTCCATATCTCACATGCTTGAGCGCCGCTCAGCATCTCGCCGTCGTAGAGGAGCTTTGGCATGTTTGGCAGAGCGCCTTGAGCGCCGTGTACAACCAGTATGGATCAACCGATTAACCAATTGATCCATATATATAAGGCGCTCCGGATTATAAGGCACTGTCGTTTTTTGAGAAAATTAAAGGCTTTTAAGTGCGCCCTGGAGGGCGGAAAATGCGGTATATTGACTTTAATACTACAAGAGGGCGCCCCGTTTGTTGAACAACGACAGGCGGACAAGAGCAGCCGTTTCGATCGAGAGCCTTATTGTTTTATTAATCTGTCCGTTTAAATTGTTTGTGCTTCATCAACTAATGTTTCACATACCTAATGTGCCGCATCATAAATATTTTTATATTAGTTTCAAACTTTTAAAAATTGAAAATTAAAAAACTTTATTGATTTATTGTAAATGACCTCTCGCGGCCCACACTTTGGGAATCGCTGCTCTAGAGTTTTTTGGGGTTTTAGATTTTTTTTTCTTTCAGATCGAGCTCTCTGAGACTCCCGGCTCCCAAGCAATGTCATGTGTGGCTCATTAATGGGTTTAGTACATGCTGTTCACGTGTGTCTTTAGTCTATTGGCTTTTGCATCTTGTGTAGACGGTTTACATATTTGTACCCATATCTACAATTTATGTTCTGTTGTTGATATTGTTGTGTCCAGTGGAATTTTTCTGGTTAATGACACAAACACACTGACTGACACATATTTCATAGTTGTCTTTTGGGGATGGCTGTTCATCTGTCCTAAATACATTTTTTAAAATGGTATGTTTTGTTGAGTTTTTATTACTTATTATAGCTTGAATCTACAATTCATTTTGAGCATTTTGTTTTGCAAGCAAAACATGAAGCTTCCCTGACTGCGCCCCCCCCCTGGTCTCTTACATTCTGCGGTAAAGACTAAAACTAATACTGAAACTAATAAAAACTAAACTAAAACTAAGCATTTTCAAAAAATAAAAAATAAACTAAACTAGCAAACCCGCTTTAAAAACTAATTAAAACTAAACTAAAATTGAAAACAAAAAGTCAAAACTAAATAAAAATAAAAACTAGTGAAAAATTCAAAACTATAATAACCTTGCTTGGAGGCGGCTGTTCGTGGGTGCGTGGGTTAGTCGGCTTCAGAACAAAGGTTATGACTGATTATAAACTTTATGATTCTAGGTTTTGAACCATAAATAAAGCTTTTAAGAGCTAATTACAGACACTGCAGACGTCTGCTCATGCATGTCTCCTTTTGTCTTTCAGGATGAGATACGCCCCCAGTTTGAGGCCAAATACTCCAAGAAGGAGAGGATGAACCCCATATCTGGAAAGCCTGAACCTCACCAGGCTTTCAGCGACAAATACAGTCGCCTCATTGTCTCAGCATCTGGGATCTTCTTCATGGTAATTGCAGCTCTCATCCTTGTCTTAGAGGACATTTAATGTCAATGGAAGATTTTGAGCGCTGTTCGTGATCACTGCGTGACTCTATGTCCCTGCAGATTCTGGTGGTGATTGCCGCCGTGTTTGGCATTGTCATATACCGCGTCATCACCGTCAGCACCTTCGCCGCCTTCGGCTGGGCGCTCATCAGGAACAACTCTCAGGTGGCGACCACAGGAACAGCGGTGTGCATTAACTTCTGCATGATCATGCTCCTCAACGTGGTGAGTGTAAAGTGGTACAGAAAAAATGACATCAACCCAAGCCTGACACAAAAAATAGTGTCTTTTTTCGTTAAACAATATAAAGTTCACACACAATTCAAAGTCTTTCCCCATTAATGGGTGACAACGTTGCATTTTCTTCCAGCTCTATGAAAAGGTTGCTCTTCTCCTCACTAATTTAGGTAAGTTGATTACAGCAGCAGATCGAATGTTCTTGGAGCTGAACGGGGGATGCAGACTTAATTACTACTGTACATTAGTGTTGGCTCCGTACCGTTGTTATCAGTTTCTCTCCTTGCCACCACAGAACAGCCGAGGACAGAGTCAGAGTGGGAGAACAGCTTCACACTCAAGATGTTCCTTTTTCAGTTCGTCAACCTCAACAGTTCAACTTTCTACATTGCCTTCTTCTTGGGAAGGTAAGAAAAGTCCTGCAGAACGAGTAACAAATATAGTTTGACCAGTGCAAACATTTGCGATGTGAATATATACAAAATGAACTGGACTTCCCTTATATTTGGGCGGCAAATATACTGTTTGGGGAAACACTGTTGACGCGTGTGTTATCTGATTAACAGATTATCACGTTACCTGATATTAATGCTGCCGTCTGACAGGAAAATGTTAATGGCTTTTTACCCGGTTGACAGATTTACGGGCCGGCCTGGTGCTTATCTGCGCCTCATCAATCGCTGGAAACTGGAGGAGGTGAGTAGTTATCTTGCTTACTCAAAGGGGAAATAACAGTAAAGCATTATGGAATAGGAATAATTTGGTTCTTATTTTTAATTTTTATATTGCTCTCTCTCCTTCTTTTCTCCGTAGTGCCATCCAAGTGGCTGTCTCATTGACCTCTGTATGCAGATGGGCATCATCATGGTGCTAAAGCAGACCTGGAATAATTTCATGGAGCTTGGCTACCCGTGAGTATTTTTTCTCACCTTCATATGTCGGACATACCAAAACAGTTTCTGATCCAACCAAATTAAAACAACTAATTGAATGTTAAAGTTACTGGGAGGAACAGGCCGTACTGCTGGGCCCACTGGAGCCAGGTCTGGGTGGGGGAGACCGTCGGACCCCTGCAATAAAATGAGAGCTTTTCAAAACAGAATTTGGTCCTCGGACACGTTACTGCTTTTGTACACAGAGGGCGCCAAACTTAGCACAAGTTTAAAGTTGCTTGTAGAAGCTTTAATTATCCTCAGTCAGATTTCAGTACTGAAACAATCTGTGTTGTTTTTCCTGCTGTTGTTTGGCCAGGCTGATCCAGAACTGGTGGACACGTCGGAGGCTGCGTAGAGAGCACGGACAGAAAGCCAAGGCCAGCTTCCCTCAGTGGGAGAGGGATTACAACCTGCAGCCAATGAATGCTTATGGACTCTTTGATGAATACTTGGAAATGAGTATGTTGAGTCTTAAGTTCCATGTATACATCTTCTATTCAGATTTAGCAGGGATACTAAAAACCTTAGCTATATTACCCCGAGAACCCTTAGGTAACAGAGATCTATAGATATTAGGTTTAAATGAATCCCAATGAATTTACTGTCAACTGCATTGACAAAGAAATTTCAATTAACGGTTTCCTTTAACATTTTAGTTTTCTTAGCTTATTGTTTGGGTTTTTGAAGAGCAGAAATTTATTTTAGTTGAGGAAAAGGGTCTCACAAACTCACTTTACACCGCCAGCTCAACACCAAATAACGGTTATTCAGGAATGAATCCTACAACTAGAAAATAAACAATTCCCTTGTGTTTTGGTTAGATGCCTGATATAACAGTATTCTAACATGGCTGAAAGGTTTGTTTCATCACATAAAATACATTGTTTTCTTAATAATCCCGCTCAAAAAAATGTTACAAAATATCATCACGCCAAATACTAATCCGTCTTTAGTTTTAGCGCTGGAGGCGCAATTCTGGCAATTGTATTTACCTTTGAATATAAAAATGGGATTCCACTTGTAAAGATTATCTTGGTGATTGAAAAAATTATATTTTCTGCAATAATTCCATTTAATTTTGTTGAGGCAACCTAAAAGAATGCATCGTCCGTTTGACACTATATTTCCCTCAGAAGAAAAACCGTTATAATGGGAGCGAACATTGGACTTATTTATCAAGTAGCCATGTATAATGGCCGCTCCACCGTTGTTGTATGTACGCCATTGCTTGCTAGCACGTTACCCATGATAGACCTTTACAACAACTATGGGACCTAATTGCTTGGGTTTTTATGTTTTTTTTTACAGTTCTACAGTTTGGCTTCACAACCATCTTTGTGGCAGCTTTCCCTCTGGCGCCTCTCTTAGCGCTGCTGAACAACGTCATCGAGATTCGTTTAGACGCATACAAGTTTGTCACCCAGTGGCGGCGACCTCTTCCCTCCCAAGCCAAAGATATAGGTGAATTAAACATTAATTTTTCCACGCACGAGAAATCGTTAAAGTAGCCTGCTTTCTGTTTTTGGGGTATATAATACTTGTACGCTTTTGTTGAAGGGATCTGGTACGGCATTCTGGAGGGCATCGGCATCTTGTCTGTCATCACCAACGCCTTTGTCATCGCTGTTACCTCAGACTTTATCCCTCGCCTTGTTTACGCCTACAAGTATGGACCTTGTGCTGGTCAGGGTCGAGCAGGGGAGGGGTGAGTGATGATTTAACCGTTAATTTATTTTGTGTATTATATTAGATGATAGTGATAAGCTGGTCTCTGTTAGTTTATTTTTTTCCTTTACTTCTTAACTGAAATGACGTAGCAAGGTTTAGGCCTGTACCAAATAGTTGCAAAGCCTCATTCATACCATTGACATTGAATTTCTAAAAACAACATTTGAATGCTGCACAGTTTGTTTTTCTTTTGCACAGTCGCAGATAATAATTTGGCTGCGCTAATAAGTCTGTACCCATTCTAACCAAAAAAAGGTTCAGGTGATGATGTCATAAAATATACGAACAAACCAAAATCAGATTTGGTACGGCCCTATGTTGGTGTATTTTGTTCCTCTTTTAGATGTGGCAAATGTTGGATAAAATCTTTTCTCATATGTTCCTCAGGTGTATGATTGGTTACGTCAACGCCAGCCTCTCAGTGTTTAGGGTGTCTGACTTTGAGAGCAGATCACAGCCGATGACTAATGGCTCTGAGCTGTTTGGAGAAGCTGTAAAGTATTGTAGGTAAGTCATGTGTGTGTGTTTGTGTGTGTGTCAGCTTTCAGTGCTCCTCAAGCATAAGATGTTAAAAATTATACTGTAAACTGTCATTTCAGTGTCTGTTACACTAATAAAAGAATCTCGTTGGAAGAGAATTCATTATAACAGGAATTCGCAGCAAGCCTTTGGGCAACCACAGGGAAGTGTGTGTGGATGTGTTCATGCGTCACTTCATTAATGAGATCTATCAACCAACACGTTGGCACTGCATAAAATATACACTGTATGCAAAATTATTAGCAGTGAGTATTTTCCAACCGAAAAGCAAGCCGGGGATTTCAAATTTTAAAAGTTAAAAACAGATGTGGTACACAATTTATTTACAATTCTACTGAGATTCATTTATGACTGACATGAGTTAGCATTGGGGCTGTGATGACCTTTGAACTTGTCTGTTTGACTCACCAGGTATCGGGACTACAGGGAGCCCCCAGACTCTGCAGAGCCCTACTCCTACACGCTACAGTTCTGGCATGTCCTGGCAGCCCGGCTAGCATTCATCATCGTATTTGAGGTAAGGATTTTGAATCAGTGACAAATAGCAAGGTAGAACAGGTGGCCAGAAATTCTTTCATGATTTGTTGTCAATCCGTTTTACTTCTCTCTTTCTAGTCTGGAGTGCCCTTAAATAGCTAGCTAGCTGTAATTTCTAATTTAACTCCTGTGGTTTTCCAGGGATTTAGATACTCCTTTCAGAATCACTTGTGCCTCTTTATGTTTTCACTTTGGATTGCTCCCGATCACGTAAATACTTTGACGAGCCACCAGCACTATACGTTGGCCATATCAAATCAATTATATGATTAGAAATAGCACAAAAAGTCCTCCATTTCTTCTTTCGATTGAAAGCTATGTCTGATAACTAAACGATTGTCTGTCTCCACCTTACAGTGGGTCAATAAGTTCCCTGTGCTCGATTGTTCCCGCCTCCTCACTTTAGTATTTGGCTTGTTGTTATTGAGCAGGTAAGGCTCTGGTATTTGTGATAGCGTCCTCTGCTCTTGCAGCACATGGTCTTTGCCATCAAGACCCTGATCGCATACCTGATCCCCGACCTGCCCAAGGATCTACGCGACAGAATGCGCAGAGAGAAATATCTGATCCAGGAGATGATGTATGAGGCCGAGTTGGAGAGACTGCAGAGGGAGAAAAACGAGAAGAAGAAGAAAGACAGGGCCCATCACAAGGAATGGCCCTAAAGTGTGGCAAATGCACCAGAGATCCAGAAACAGTTTGTACAAGAGATCATTTAGTTCTGTCCACGACTCTTGTGAGGTTCACTTTGTGGCAGGTTGTATGGGTTTAGCTTTCTCCTGCTCAATATGGGAGACAAAAAAAAACTAAAAAACATATTGTTATTTAAGTAATGGTCTCTCAAAAAACGTTTTTTTATTGTAGCATTACTATTTTTAGAATATAAACAATTGTATAACAATGCAGTTTTAAAGATCAACAATTTAAAGGGTTTCAATCATTTTGTGGATGTAAAGAGATTTATTGGTTGAGAAAATTCTTTCAATTGTTTCTTCTTCATTTCTCACTTGGTTTTGTTGTTGTCCATTTTCATTCAGTTTTAATCCTCTCAAATCTTTGACCACAAATACAGTGTTCATCAATTGCTTAAAAAAAATATGTTTTCCTTCTGGAGATACGGCACTCTCACTCTCAAGCTGTTTAGAAATATAAACCAAAGCATTTAAAGTAAAACGGGGTATTTTTCTACATTAAAACCAGCTATACCGAATTATTTGTCCTATTCCCAGGTTATCGGCTGGAGTTTGGTTTGTGCACTTTACAGTGGAGGAAAAGAGAAGTTGCACGGGGTTTCCTGCATTACACCGGACCCTCATACCTTCCTTCTGCCGCGTCAGGCCAGCACCTCCTAGCAGACCGTCTTTGAACTGCATCCAGCAGGTCCACCCAGTGTGTGCATCCATAAAGGACCAGGCCTTCTTCAATGTTTTGGCTTGGGTTTTGCTACCTTTTTCCTTTCTTCCTCCAGATAGTTTTTACTGGTTTGGACTCTCAACAGCGTATACATCTTCAGACTCTGAATGTATATTTCAAGCAAGACTTCACTTTTACAGCCGTCTCGTTCTAGACGAGAGAGAGGACTCTACTGAGTTTATTGAATGAAACCCTGTTTACATGTCTCCTTGTTTGAGGAGTTCACGTCTACATGTATTGTGAATAAAGACATATAAAGCTATGTCAGGCAATCTGCTTTGCTATAGTGTGATGCAATAAAAATACTACGGAAGGCAATTTCTGAAGAAATGGCAGTGGGATTGCTGACAGCATAAAACTGATCCAAACAATTGAAAAAAATAGAATAAAAATAAGCTGTGCACAATGAAGTGTCTTTTTGGCATAGTGTAAAACCCTCAGCTGAGGTCTAAACTCTTATAAGCACTAGCCAGAAAAAGTTATTGAATTGGATTTTTTGAAAGTCTTCTTAAGTACTCAGGAAGCCTATTGCAAGCTCATGTAACCTTTTTTAGGAGTTTTGTTTTGAAAAGCCTGTCTTTATCTCCAGACTTTTCTTTTGAAAGTCCTGCATACTCAAGAGGCTCTGTGAAAAACTCCTACTACACTGTTTGTGGGCACTGAACCTTAAAGCGGTTCTCACTAAACATAATATATATTTAATTAATCTTTGGAAAGTCCTTAATTGAACTTCTGGATGAAAGACGAATGACATGTGGTCACATATTGTGTCACTTTAGTTAATAATCCACTAAGGAGCCTCCACAGAGGTCAGAACAGCAGATCCAAATTAGCTGTGAGTCCCCACCCGTAAATAGAGGTTGCCATTGAAATGGCACCTGCTGATAGACTTCGTACATGGTAGAGTTCATATAATGAGAGCGGCCTCTCAAACTCTGCCTTGTTACTCACGTGCTATTCGTATCTTCTAAATGTATCTTGAGTGAGATGGGGAACCCGTTGAATATGGTACTATGAAATATATTTGTGGGAAAGTTAAAGCCAGTTTGAAAGTGTTTTCTATTATGTTTTGGAAATTGACAATTTTTGTAGCATTTCTTTATTTATTCATTCATTAATTTGCAGGGACAATGCACACTAATTAGCAGTTGTACTGTAAGTGAGTTACGTAGAGAGGTTAATATCTGCTGACCCTATTGAATTCAATGTGTTGACACATTGGGTGGTGCTCCTACTGCATTGAGTCTCATGGCGAAAAAAAAGGTTTGTCAGTTTGAGTCGAAAAATACATTGTTTGAAAAATTACCGAGTTGATTCATTTAAAAAAGAAAAATGGCTAAAACGGTCAGACAGAATGTTATTCCAATAATGTCCTCAATGAGCTGAACGATTTGAATCAAGTTTTGTTTAATAATAATAATAGATAAAAGATAACCTAAGAATTCCATAGATTGGACTGCATATGATGCCCAGCAATCTCCCTAATAAAGACAAACTGAAGAACATGGACTGCCCACTATGATACTCACAAGAGTAAAATCTATAACAGCTTTCTTCCATTGACTTAAATGACAAATGCTTGCCATTTAGATCCATAAATGCAGTATTAAACCATATTTATTGTAAATAAATGTTACTGTCTTCAACATGTGGAAAATATGTACGAATAAAATATGTAAATTTGCCCCCAATAAATACATAAAAACTATGGACAAATAAACAGCTATGTTTCCAATATGAATATTTGATATCTTAGTCAGCCCTGTTAGAGTGAAAACAATGACATAATATGTTTTTTTTCTTAGATTTTTTTGTTTAAATATATCTTGGACGAATATTTTCTATTGTTGTCATCCATGAAGAGATGAACAATCTAAGAGTAAAACAACTTAAAAAATGTCATCACCTTTGCTTGTATTGTTTTTATTACTACTATTTATACAGTTTTTGCCATGTTAAATGCCTTGTGTACCTTACAAGTACTATACAAATGCAATGTATTATTATTTTTATTATAAAACATTGCATCACGGTAATTTCACCTAATATTTCTAACTAATACAGGCTAGATTTATTTTTCCACAATATGTTTTTATTGAATTTATTGTGCATTTACATTTTTCATAGATTTCATTTTCCAACTAAATACGGTCTTATTCATTTTATTAAAAACCTACATGTTCAAAAAATGAATAATTTGGACCTTAGTGTCCTCAGTATGGCCTCTGGGTCAACGGTTCTCACACCAGCAGAGGGGGCTGGAGTGCTTAGTTTTTTCTGCATCATCCTTATGGCCCCTTACTATATGAAAACACAGCACTGCCCGCATAATGATAATAATGTCTTATATCCACTGGAGTGCAGGAAAAATGCGTTCAGATACTGGGCTGTATAAAGAGAGTTGATTTTCATTTCCTCTGACAGCACAACACATCAGATAAGAATTTCCATTGTGTTGGACATCTTTGCGTTTTAATGCCCAAACATGCAAATAATCATTTGAAAGCGGGGGCTTGTCCTCTGGCATGAATTACTTGGATGGGGTGTCCTTTGTACTCCATTTTAATTATTAAAAGCAAGGGACAGGAGAGGCAAACTGTATTTTGGTTCTTATCAAGGCAACTCCTCTCCTCTCTAAGAGGATTATCTCTGACACACACTCGGGAGTTACTGTACATAACGCTGTCAGGGGATAATATCGGACATTTCCTAACATCCTGCATTTTGGCAGCTCAGCCACAAGTGAAAAAGTAATGGTGAACTAAATTGTGTTGATAATGATTGTTGGAGCTCTGCAAAAAATTTTCTTCACCTGTTAATCCTCTTTTCCAGCCATTGCATGTTGCAAACGGTACGGTGGAATGAATGGGCCACTCTGCCGTTGCAGTCATGTATAGTAATGAGACAGAACACAGACAGTCCAATAACAGAAATTCAGCCACTTTGACTCGAGCGCAATGTTGTCTGTTAAATAACACAACAACAAATGTCCTAGTTTCATTTGAAGTTATCACCCATGAAAGAGAAAAATTACACCAAGTTCGGCTCTGTAAAGCTTTTCATTTTAAAGTCACAATTGTGCGAGGGGACAAGGGAAAAGTGTTGGACAAGTGCCCGCAGGGTCCGTAGATATGATTCAATTTTACAAGATTAAAATAAGTCAAAGAGGTTTCCACAGCTTGTTATGACTTCAAGTGGCAACACAAATACCAGAATAATGTAGCATTTTAGTCTTCGATCAGACAAGGTTACATTTCTCCTTGTAAAGGTTAAAGGGTCGTCTTCCTAAAAGTTACTCTGTTGTGGCCCGAAACAACCGCATCAAATCAGTTACACTCGAAACATCAACCAACCTAGGAGTGAATGAACCAGAACCCGGGATCGCTGTGCAGGCCAGTGTGGTGATGGATTGAGTGAGACCGCTGCATGAATTAGATGTTTGATCGACGTCGTGGCCAAATCAACAGTATGTGCTGGAGGACCCGGGATTCACGTGCATCAGGTGAAAAAAAGACGTTGTACCTGCTGCTTTGTAACCCTCTTACACAACCCCTCACCAAAAAACATTTGTTATTGTTTGTCATTGTTTGCGCTTTTATTTGTGCACTAACTGAACTAAGAATCCCTTTGAGAAACAGCTTTCCATCAAAGAGCCCTTTCAACAGTCAACATTTCCTTTTGGAATTGAGTTACTCAATTTTGATTACTACAACGGCCAAAATATAACTAAATCTTTGTCGTCTTGAACATGCTGACCTCTCAATTCCACCAACGTCTGATCCCACTAGCTATTCATCAAACATTTTGAACTTGGTGGATATTACTTGTTCGATCAATGTGGCGCAGCCTCAGGCTTTAAGTGACAGATCATATTATTTAGTGAACCTGCTCGACTTGCACAAAGGAAAGGTGGAAAGGCAGTGCACATTTTCTGTACATATTGCCCAAAATATTTCTTAATTCAGTTATTAGTTCCCTTCCCAAATCCCTCTTCACCTTGAATCTTTCCATTCTTCAGAGGCTCAGCACATGTTTCCCCCCCCCCCATAACCTACACCCGCGTGCCAGAAGCATGCGTCCTTTAAATATCAACCCTGCCTGGTGTTTAAATATCCAATAACAAGTTCTGCATGTAAACTTCACCGTTCGCAATCATAAACATTAGAAAGCTTGGTTCTTATGTCACATCCTGGATTATTGATGTACAAGTCGGTAAAACAAAAAAAAGACTCCTGCTGTTTTCTGTCTGCAGTTGCCAGGGTGATGCAGCCATAACTCTACCCCCTCCCCCCCTTTTTTTCTCTTTCTCCTTCTGATGCTTTCACTCAGGCTACCCTTCTATTTCCTATCTTTTGTCCTATATTGCTGTTATTTCATACACACATACAGTTAGGAACACCATACACACATTCAACACAAACTGATAATACTAACTCTTAAAGGTTGCACTGAAATCTCAATTTATTTTTGGCAAAGAAATCAAATTTATTGTGTATCTATGGTGTTTTGGAAAAGTATTATTCTTTTATTTTCCTGTTGTCTGTCTCAATCACCGGGTGATTTGGTGGTTAACTGCATTGATATCTGTAGGTTTTAGCTTCTATCTTTGTCTTTTAAACCGGTTTTCACTGCTGAATCAGTTTGACATCCTGGATATATAATTACAAAAAATGCATATTACAGATACTTTGGTCTGCTTCTCTCTAAATCCCTTGTTGGTTTCCACAGGGAGTACAGGTAGTGACAGTGTGATAGAAAGTAATAGCAGTATTTCTGATACTAACTTTAAATTGTCCTTGATCGTAACCCAACTCTCTTTGGATAGGAACAGTGGGAGAGTCTTCAAACAGTATTTAAGGTCATTTCGCTGTCATGGTTTTGCTAATACAAGCACGCACACATTACCAGTGGACAGTGGACCTGTAATACTGCCTGATAACATGTTGAAGATACAGGTAGCAGCTCACATCCGTCCCTGTGACCCTTCCTTCTCACTGAAATATTTGATCTGACATTCTCTAAGGACAAAGCTATCCGTAGCTGCCTCAAAGACAAGAAATCATTTTGAAAATAAGACACTCTGTGCACGTTTTTTCTCATGGAATCTGGGTCAGCTTCAAGTCGTTGAATTTGTAGCCACCACATTTTATCAATTTTCCCCAATAGTATTAAGGCTTTGCATCTCCTAATCTCTCATCACAGTAAAGGAAGAAGGGTTTGAGGCTGTAATTTTCTGCTGTATTGCAGTGACGTGCAGTCTGGGTAGGCACTGCCTTGAAAATGAAAACATAAAACATAAAATAATTTGATTTAATCAACTGTATCTGTATTTTTACTGTTTATTTT